AATATGTGTACTACTGTTTCATGAGAAACTATTTGTTCTGTAAGCCTTCACCTGAAGTACAATAAAAAAAAAAAAATAGGAAAAAAAATCTAGAAGGAAAAATGTTTAGGTTTATTAGCAAAGTTAATGAGGGTAAAATGATGTTACCAGCATCAGAGAGGGAACAAAGACGTTTGAAGAGAGGAAAGCATTATGTGTATGTTTTATGCAATATGTTCATTAAACCAGTTAAGGAAGGGTTATTTCAACCAGTGAAGATGTCAGCCAGTTCCCACTTAGGTTTACACAGGATCATCCAGTGATTGCCCTGTTTTTATGGGGAAAAAAAGCAAGTTTTGATTGAACGTGTGGCTATAAAATGAGTTGTATTTGTGTTTATTAATATGATAGTTTGAATTCTTGCCCCCCCCCCAACAATATGATTTTAGAGTAAGGACTGAGAATTTGTAGAGCTCCATATTGGGAATCATAGAATGTAGTGCTAGCTCTCGGAATGCTTCTTTTACAGATAAGGAAAATGAAAACCTGATAGACTGTTTCACTTCCTCAAGGCCACGTAATTATTTAGTGTCAAATGTGCATGACAACCCTAGCTGTATGGCTCCCTGTCCTCTGTTTTTTTTTTTCCCAACTTCCCATTTAATGTGCTTTGACCGCCTGGTTGCTTCAGTTGTATGCTGACCACGTGCAAGGTGTAGTTTGTGAAGCTGTTTCATCTTATGTGGGGACACTTGAGAGATCTTAAATTAGTTTAGCGTAATTGGAAATCAAACCCAAAGATAGCATAGAGGAAGAGCTTAGTAGATTCCTCTGATCAGCATGACTTTATTAGGTTTCTCACCGGTTGTGTGCTTTTAGACATGTACTTATTTGTATTTTGTATTTGGACATGAGATACAGTGAGAAATTTCATGACTGATGAAAGCAATATTAAATATCAAATTTTAAAAACCTAGACATAGAAATTCCCTTAGTGAAATGGATTTTTTTTAATGCTTGTTTCTGTGTGTAAAGACATTGTATAAGCTATACTTTTAAAGAAATGCAAATAAATTTAAAATGCTATCTGTCCAGACACTATGTTCGACTTGAGCATAAGCATAGCTCTGGGGAAGATGTAAAATTCATTGGTAATGTTGTTTTTGCTTTGTTCACAGGGTGAACAATTGTGTTGGATTTTCAAATTACAAATTTTTCCTTCTTTTCTTGGCTTATTCTCTGCTATACTGCCTTTTTATTGCTGCTACGGATTTACAGTATTTTATCAAATTTTGGACAGTAAGTCATTACCTTGGAGACTCTTTTGGTAACCAAAAATATGGGGTATATGGACTTTTAGTAGTGAATTATTTCAGACATTGATTGCATAGATTAGAGATAATTTATACATAAAGTATAAGAAGATTTTTTTCAATATTTAAAAAAGTGTTTTCTTTATGTAAAATTATTTTAAAACTTTTCCTCTATAATAGCTTGAATTTTTATTAGATATTTATTGATTAGGCTCTAGGCAACTCATTTGTTTTCTGCACTTATAGATTTTACATGTAGGCAAAACCAAATTAAAACTGAGTACTTTAAATATCCAGAAATACTCCTCGTGAACGCCAAATGATGGTAAAAAAACAATCCATCCTCTGCTTGAACTGCCTTGTTATTTCTGTATTAAATTATCCTTTATTATGGTAAGGCTTTCCGAACTGCTGGATCATTTATGTGAGATTTGAACTCAATTCAATGCCAAAGGTTTGTTGAGTGCCTACTATGTGCCAGCTACATCGTTCAGCACTAGGAAGGTACGCGTGAATGGACAAGCTCCCAGCATTCGAGGATGCTTCCAGCATCCGGCTTGAAGAATGATCCCTAGTGAACATCTGAGAGAACATCACTGCTCCCCCTTTCCGTGGGTGGTGTCAGTTCCAAACTATGTGAAACAGCTTGACGCATTATTGTGGGTGTGTTGTTGTTTGTGTTCTTGTAGCTGATGCTGTTGTTTGTGGTAATGTAAAATGGCAATGAAAATAGTGGCTAAATTGTGCCGATTAATCTCCATTTTCCGGCATTATCATAAGACTATGTAAACGTTTGTGAATCTGTAACATATTAACAGAATGTGTTCAGGTAGTGAATTAAAATTGTATCTTATAGTTCCTTTTATTTTGATCCTCACTGTTATAACTTAGACACATAACTACTGCTAGTACCATAGTTTTTCTGTTTTGGTTATTCAAAACAAAATAAATTTCCCAAATATTAATATCTTTTCCAGATATATATTTACATTGCAGTAAACATTTATTTTAATTTCATGACATGTAATGTGTGTGGATATATATGTATATTTATCCACACACACAAATACATATCATCAGATTGAAATAAATACATATATATTTATAAGTATAAATATATATTTTTCTATATATGTTCCCCCAAGTGTTAACATAAAGTCATGTATCTGTCTCCATATCTAAATTTAAGAAAAAAAAAACCAAGCAAAACAAAACCTTACTAATTTACTTACAAAAGTAGGGAGAATACTTATCCCTTTGACAAAATATTTTATTTTCTTCCTTTCTTTGTAGAATGGCCTACCTGATACTCAAGCCAAGTTCCATATTATGTTTTTATTCTTTGCTGCAGCTATGTTTTCTGTCAGCTTGTCTTCTCTGTTTGGCTATCATTGTTGGCTAGTCAGCAAAAATAAATCTACATTAGGTGAGTATCTAATTTTGTAGTTCACAGAACTTTATTCACCAATACTTACCATACGATTAAATGCCAACCTGTCCTGACGTGGTAAGACTCATTCTCATTTCCCACATTTTTCAGTGGGCTGTGACTTGGTGACGTACAGATTCACCCATTCCATACGTGTATTGACTGTCCATTATGTATAAAGCATCGTGTATACACAGTGGTGAGCAAAGGCAAAAGAGTCTAGTGGGAGACACAGAAATAACCATACAGTAAATCCATGGAAACAGAAAGCAAGTTGGTGGTTGCCAAGGTCTGGGGATGGGGGAAATGCAGAATGCCCGCTTCAGTGGGTATGGGATTCCTTTCGGAATGGTGAAAATGTTTTGTAACTCGATACAGGTGATAGTTGCACAGCATTGTGAATGTACAACTGCCACCGAACTGTCTGCTTTTAAGTGGTTAACTCCACGTTATGTGAATTTCACCTCGATTTTTTTTTTTTTAAAGCCCTACAGGGAGAGAGCTAGGAGTCTCTGAGAAACTATACACATGACTTATAGCGATCCCACAGAACAGGGCAGAACTGCCCCATAGGATTTCAAGGCTGTAAATCTTTACCGAAGCAGACCGCCCCATCTTTCTCCCCCAGAGCAACAACTGGTGGGTTCCAACCACTGACCTTTCAGTTAGTAGCTGAGAGCTTTAACCACTGCGCCACCATGGCTCGGAATCAACTCAACGGCAGTGGGTATACATGTGACTGGAGCATAGTAAACTAAAGAACAGTAATATACAATGAAGTTGGAGAAGGAACTAGACCATATGGAGCCTTCTAGGTTAAGATTAGGATTTTGGGAATGCATCCAGAGTTTGTAAATCCTTATGATCTCCAGGAGCCCCTAGGTGGTGCAGACGGTTAACGTGCTCACTGCTAACCAAAAGGTTGGAGGCTAAAATCCATCCAGAGGCATCTCAGAAGGAACGCGAGGCAATCCACTTCCGAAAAATCAGCCACTGAAAACCCTGTAGAGCAAAGTTCTACTGTGACACGCATGGGGTCACTATGAGTAGGAGTCAGCTGGACAACAGCGGTAGTTTTTTGTTTTTATCTCAAAGGATACATCAAGCTGAGATCTCATTACTATAATATTCAGTGAAGACTAGTTGTAGTAGACGGTCAGCAAAGTGTTAATTTTTAATATTCAAGTGAAATCTTATTACAGCCAATACTGTTAAAGTGAAAATATTAGTATAAGAAAGTATTTTTTAGCAAGGTATCTTATTTCAAAGTATATGTAGAGCAATTAAATTATAATTCATCAAAGTAATTGTTTCTAGAAGTTAACTTCTATAAATGTCTAGATATACCTTAAAGCACTGAAAGACTTCCTTCAGACAATATGGTCCTATCATTAAAAAAAAGTTTTATAAAAAGCCATATAACATCGGGTGACAAATGCTAGGGATCTTGCAAATCACCCCCCCTTTTTTTTAATAGTTCCCTGACTCTAGCTAGATTTAATTTTTCCTTTTTAAATTATGGATAAAAATCATACACTTCTCTGTTTGTTCATATTCCAAAAATGAAATTTTAGATTTTGCATTACAGCATTATTCAAGAAGAAAATGTAGCATAAAGGAAGGGGTATTGGAGATCTGGTTCAAGTCTCATCCTATCATTTATATGTTATCTGAGCAAGTCCCACAACCTCTCTGGACATCAACTTCCATATCCAAAGTAGACATAAGGAGATGCAATGTATGGTGCTGGATTTGATCCCCATTTGAACAAACCAGCTTTTAAGTATATACTTGAAAAAAAAATTATGAATAGATAAAATTCTTTATTGGAAATCAGGATTTACTGGTTGAAAAAAGCAAGTTGGAGAATTATGTAAAGTATAGCCTCATTTTGGTTAAAAATACTATGTAGATTTGTATTAACAAATTAACATCCTGCCATATGCAGATGACACAACCTTGCTTGCTAAAGTAAATAGGACTTCAAGCACTTACTGATGAAAGTCAGGGACTGCAGCCTTCAGTATGGATTGCACCTTAAAAAAAAAAAAAAACAAGGATCCTTACAGCTGGACTAGTGAACAACATCATGATCATGATAAATGGAGAAAAGATTGACGTTCTCAAGGATTTCATTTTACTTGGATCCACAGTCAACACCCATGGAAGCAGCAGTCAAGAAATCAAATGACGCATTGCACTGGGCACATCTGCTGCAAAAGACCTCTTTAAAGCATTAAAAAGCAAAGATGTCATCTTGAGGACTAAGATGCACCTGACCCAAGCCATGGTGTTTTCAGTTGCTTCATATGCATTTGAAAGCTGAACAATGAATAAGGAAGAGTAAAGAAGAACTGATAACTTTGAATTACGGTGTTGGCAAAGAATATTGAACATACCATGGATTTCCAGAAGAACGAACAAATCTGTCTTGGAAGAAGTACAGCCAGAATGTTCATTAGAAACAAGGATAGTGAAACTTCATCTTGCTTACTTTGGACATGTTATCAGGAGCGACAGACCCTGGAAAAGGGCATCATCCTTGGTAAAGTAGAGGGTCAGCAAAAGACAGGAAGACCTTCAACTAGATGGACTGACACAATGGCTGTAACAGTGGGCTCAACCACAGCAGCAACTGTGAGGACGGCACAGGACCAGGCAGTGTTTGGTTCTGTTGTGCATGGGGTCGCTATGAGCTGGAACTGACTCGACAGCCCTTAACAACAACAACGTATCTAGCTACTATCAAAAGATTCAGATTAAAGTTTTCATTTTTTTTGCTTGCTTGTATTTTGTACAGTGCACATGTGCTGCTGTAGTAATAAAAGGATTCCTTAAAAATTAAAACAGACATAATCATATCTTACAATTATTTAAAAACATAGAACAGACAACCTATTTTGCAGGGCTCTTGATTGGCATGTAAGTATTCACAGGAAGCTGGCCATTGATTTTGAGAGCTTTACTCATTAATTCGATCATTTCTAAATATTATAGGTTACTAGTAGGCATGTTCTTTATCGTATGATTTCTCTACCATCTTTTCTAGAAGCATTCAGAAATCCAGTATTTCGTCATGGAACAGATAAGAATGGATTCAGCCTGGGTTTCAGCAAAAATATGCGACAAGTTTTTGGTGATGAGAAGAAGTACTGGTTGCTACCCATTTTCTCAAGGTACTTTATGAAAAAGTAATTATGAAAATATTCAGGTTTTAAACTAATAAAAGTTATCCAACAAAAGATAATTTCAGGAAAAGCCTCTAGTTCCGTTGGTCTGTAGTTAGATAATTCTGTATAGGTATGCCTCTTTTTTAAAGCACTGTTTTATGATTCACTCTTCCATCAATGTGGAAACCAGTCGACTCTTCATCTCCCTAAACATAAACACTGTATTGAACCCAGTGTCTGATGGACACATTTAGACTGCAATATAGCATATTCTCTCTCAGACATGAGCATTTTAACAGAGTTTCACTCTATTGTCTTCTTCATGGTTCAGTTATAAGTTTTTATTTTTACTACAGTCTAGGTGATGGCTGTTCTTTTCCAACCTGCCTTGTTAACCAGGATCCTGAGCAACCATCCACTCCTGCAGGACTGAATTCAACAGCTAAAAAGTAACCTCATATAATTTTTTTTTTCATTTTGTTTTCAAATAATGTATTTTATCCTCATGTGTCCTTTGGTTATACATTCCTTTGAGAAAAATTTTTTAAAGAACGTAAGATAATTTACTACAATGGCTGCCACTTGGAGCGAGGGAGGGATTACATGACTGGGGAGGGGTATACAGGAAGCTTTGATTATACATGTAAAACTCTGTTTATTAATCCAGGTGGTGGATAAACAGGTGTGTCTTCTCTATACATTTTGGTTAACTGAATAATTTCATGATTTTTTAAATGTAGTGATTAAAAGAAAAAAAAAGTAAGTCAAAATTAGCTCCCCCAGTGGGCAGGTGAGCAGGCAGGTAAGATTTCCCTTGAACTCTCAATGTCTTGTGGAGTCAGTTCCTCCTCATAGCGACCCCACTGTTGTAGAGTAGAACTATGCCCTGTGGTTTTCAAGGCTGTGACCTTTTGGAAGCACATCACTAGGCTTTTCTTCCAAGGTGCCTGTGGGTTGGTTCGAACCGCCAATCTTTTGGTTAACAGCTAAGCACTTAACTGTTTGCGCCACCCAGGGCCCAGTTTTCCCTGATTAGCCCATACAGAATTTCTATCGCTAGTCCTGGCCTCTCCTCTGTCCTCCAGAGGCGTATATCTGTCTACCTCCTCGACATACCCACCTGTCAAAAAGTCGTCTACAGCCGGGAACAGGTAAAAACAGAGCTCAGGATTTCCCACCCATCTCCAGCCTCCAGTGATTCTCCCCTGTCCTTCCTGTATTAGTAACTGGTGACCCCCATTTTCCCAGGTACTCATACCAGAAACCCTGGAGGCATCCTAGATCCGCTCTTCGGGTTACTTTGTGTTTACCCCATTTGCAAATCCTGTCGGGTGCCCCCATGAAACATGTTATAATCTCAACACTTTCTCTCTCCCTCCATGGCTGCTTCCCCGGTCCAAGCCATCATCATTTCTTACATGGGTTATTTCAACAGCTTCCCAACTGATCTTCCTGGTTCTGGGTTTGTCCCACTCTGTTCTCTTCTCCATTCAGAAGCTAGAGTGATCCTTTTAAGACAAACCAGATTGTGTCGTTCTTCTACTCCAAACCCTCTACGGGTCTCCCACTTCACCCACAATAAAAGCCAATGAATGTCCTACCAGGATGTATAAGGCTCTGTCTGATCCCTGGCCCCCGACGCCTTTCTAACCCACAGTCCTCATGCATACACACCAACTTCCCCTTCCTCAAATATACCAAGCATACCCCTTAGCGCCTTTTTACTCGCCAGCTCCTCTTCCTACCTGTTCTCCCTCCAGATACCTGAACGGTCTGTGTCTTCTCTTCACTCTCTGCTCAGGTGTAATCATCACAGCAGAGGCCATCTTTGAAAACTCTTTCTAGAATCGTAACTTCCTCCTGCACATCCCTTTACCCTGTCTGATTTATTGTCATAACTCATACTGTCACCTGACTTATTATATATGTTTGTTTATTCTTCTTCCTGAATTATAGTGAAATTTCCATCAGATCAAGGACTTTGTTCATTGATGAAATAGGTATTCAATAAATATTGTTGGATGAATGAATCCTCACCGAGTGTCAGAACCTTATTAGCAGCGGTGAATCTGCAGGAAGTCCCTAACCTGGGACCTAATTAGTATGCTGTACCTCTTAAAGGATCCCTTTCTAGAGGACCAATAAAAATTAGAGATTTTCATCTGAATAGATAGAAACCTGAGCAGAGACCCACTGAGGGTTTTTGTTTTTGTTATTTTGAAGATTTCACCTCTAGATTTTTCATAAGAGGATGTTAAAGGGCCACAAAGTAGAAATATCCTCAAATTCTAGATGAGGTAATTATTAAGGAGTAAAAACATATCCTTTAAAAAATAGAACAGTTACATTCAACTAAAATATATTAAAATTAGTTCTTGGAAAATTTTTAAGTGTTTTCCTTTTGGACATTTTGGTAATTACCATTTCAGCTGCTCTAAAAATACACTACTAGTTTCTATGCCAATAATTTTTCCTGCCTTTACTATAAGGGAAATGTTATTTTAACGTATGTGTATTTTGTCATACTATGCAACGTATTCATATGTACCATGTCTGTCTAAATTTTAAAACATAAAGTTTAAAGAGATTATTCTTTCAAAACTCCCTGCCTGCCAAGGTGAATGTTGGATTTGTAAAACCTGGTGAACATCAGATCTTCTCAGCATTCCTGCAAGACAGTACTCACATTGTTCTTTCCGTTTCATAAATGAAGACAGAGAATTCTTTGTCAAGACCAGCTAGGCCACTTTAGACTAGACCAGTTTTTCTGAAACTTGTCTTTCTACTATCACCTACGTATTTTTTTTCCATATCCACATACCACTTACAAAATTAGTATTTTTCTTTCATACATGTCTTTTAATTGGCATTTGAATTCATTTTTTAAACAGAACTTTGTATCACTGTTATAAATGAGAAACCAGCACGACTTGCCATAAATAGAATGTAACTGTAAAAAATAAAATTGCTAATAAAATACTATTATTAGGTTCTAACTAGATTCCATTGCCTATTAAAGTCTTAAGCGGAAACCATTTTCTCTGTATTAAAAATGGAGATTTACCAGAGTTAGATATCATCATCTTCTTATTGTAATCAGAAGAATAGAAAGAGAACTGAAGAGAGAATACTTTTCACATCATGAGTCAGTGTTATTTAATACCTTCTCCCTGTATGCCCCAACTTATCTTGGGTACCTCTATAATCATATTACATCACAAGTAGTTTGAGTTCTGTTCTTTGGGAAACACTCAATGATACTATCAAGAGCTGACTTATTTTTATTATTTCGCAGTCCTGAAAACCACCAATTTCCTGCCAAAATGTTGCGAGAGTCCCAGAGCCACCTTCTTACTGATTCTCAATCTTGGACAGAGAGCGGCATAAACCCAGGAAAGGGTAAAGCTGGTAAAGGGTGTGCTTGTTTTTACAAGGGTTTCAGAAGGTGAAAAGTGGCGAAACAGTTCATTTATAAATCTACAGAATTTTTCTTGGTTTAGACTTGGACTGCTATTGTAAAATTAGAATTAGTTTCAAAGAACTTCCATTTGTGAGGTACTTTGACTAATGTGTGCTAAAAAAAAAAAAACAAACCCCATTGCCGTCGAGTCGATTCCAACTCATAGTCGGAATGATAGCGACCCTGTAGGGCAGAGTAGAACTGCTCCTTAGGGTTTCCAAGGAGCTGCTGGTGGATCTGAACCGCCAGCCTTTTGGTGAGCAGCTGAGCTCTTAACCACTGCACCACCAGGGCTCCCGTGTGTACTAGCAGTAGAATATCATGGTAGTGAGTTGAAATGGGTCCTCCAAAAATTCATGTCCACTCAGAATCTCAGAGTGTGACCTCATTTGGAAATAGGGTCTTTGCAGATGTAATTAATTAAGATGAGGTTCATACAGGATTAGAGCGGGCCTAATCCAATGACTGGGGCCCTGGTGGTGCAGTGGTTAAGAACTCGGCTGCTAACCAAAAGGTTGACAGTTCAAATCCACCAGCTGTTCCTTGGAAACCCTATGGGGCAGTTCTGCTCTGTCCTGTAGGGTCACTGTCAGTTGGCATCGACTGGATGGCAACAGATTTGGTTTTTTTACAAGGAGAGAGGGCACACAGAGATGCACACAGAAAAGAAGGGTATGTGAGGACAGAGGCAGAGATTGGAGAGAGGCAGCTACAAACCAGACAACACCGATGACTGCTGGGAGCCACCAGAAGCTAGGAAGAGGCGAGGGAGGATTCTTCCCTAGGACCCTCAAAAGGAGCATGGCTCTGCCAACACCTTGATTTCAGACTTCTAGTTTCCAGAACTGAGAGAGAATATATTTCTGGTGTTGTAAGCCACTCGGTTTGTGGTGATTTTCAATACTTGAAGAATTAGGAAACCTGGTTAAGATGATGTGAATAGTGCCAAGTTCAACGTATCTTTCATTATTTTGTTCCCCTACTTGCTCGGCTGTGTATCTGTAACTGTTTTTAAAGTGTTTTGTGACACTGGCTGTGGATGACACTTCATCAGTTGTGTGTGTGCGTTTCTGTATAACCATCTTGTAAACACCCGTACTATGTACGAGGCACCCTTAGAAGTATAGTGGGAGAATTCCTGGATAAATAAACAAATCTCTGCCTATTTTTTCAACACTAACAAAAAATGCCAATTTATGTTCTTTAGGTATGAGCAACCCTGCGTTGACCATGGAGAATGAGACTTAACTCTTCAAGCAAAGTAAGTTCATACTTTCTAAAAGTAAGACACATTTTCCTTGGTTGGTATGCTTTATATTTTTAACAGTTTTCCAGTTCTCTTAGGGCAAACTGTTTCTATAAATATTATTACTATTTTTGAGTGACTGAAATTATGTCTTATCTGACCTGTAGTATCACATCAGTCATGCTGAGGCCTCTGGTCATGAGGCTATCTTAGAATTAACTAGTATGTAGGTTACCTCGATAGTTATAGAAATCGGTTGATGAACAAAATTCATTTTTCTAGTCATGCATTAAATGGCAGGGATTGATCCTAAAACGTTCAGCTGTACATGAAAATTATCTTGTCATTTCATAGGATAAAGCAGTTTTTTATGTTTCTCTATCCTTCAGGACATATACCAGTCATACCCTTGACTGTATGTTAGCAGAATTTCACTGGGTCCAAGTGCAAGATAATTACATCTTGTTAGCAAAAATTTCCATCATCGCCATATTTTGGTCATATTAGGACGCCATAGCCTGAGCTATTCTTAAAGTGCTAGGTGTTCCAAATCATTGTTTTTAGACCACAATTATTTTTCAGACCTGTAGTTTTAAATAAATGTCTTTATAACATAATCTATTTATAAACTTTCTGTCAATAAAAAAACCACAATAAGGATCCCCTTTGGAAAAAAGCCATAAACAACAAAATAAACCACTATATGCACTGTCAGTCACATTAAACATAAAATAAAGAGTCGAACATGGAAGTTGTCAAGACAACTCTCTATTGCAAAATTGCAACCTGAAATCCTAAAGTCTAAGAGAAGCAAGAAAGTGGCATTGAGCACAAAATGATTTGTGTAAAAATATTTCACGGACATATGGTTTCTTTGTTTGGTTTGGTTTGGTTCTGATGAATAGCTATGTAATAAGAGCAAAACACTGATCCTGCGGTTTTCCAGCTGACTAGTGTTTTGATTTTGGACCACCAGGATCAGCTGTGGATACATGATGGTACAGTAGGTCAGATTAATCATAACTGTGGTTAAACCTGTTGGCATCAAGTCAATTCCAACTCACAGGGACCCTGTAGGACAGAGTAGAACTCCCCCATAGGGTTTCCAAGGCTGTAATCTTTACCGAAGCAGACTGCCACATCTTGCAGAGTGGCTGGTAGGTTTAAACCGCCAACCTCTCGGTTAGTAGTCGAGTGTTTAACAACTGCACCACCAGGGCTTCTTATAACTATGATTACCCAAAACCCAAACCCATTGCTGTCGAACTGATTTCGATTCATAGAAACTCTATAGGGCAGCGTAGAACTGCCCCATAGGGTTTCCAAGGAGTGGCTAGTAGATTTGAACGGCCAATATTTTAGTTAGCAGCCAAGCTTTTTAGAATAGTGAAAATATGATTGTCTTAATTTGATTAAATAGCATAAGAGATCATTTTTTAATTTCTGGAAATAATTATTATAACTATAAATGTAAAAATATGAATCACTAGCCAATACCACAAATAATAAATTTTACAGAACACAGGAAAATATAAAGTTTCAGAGAATTTTTTTCCATTAGTTTGGATCATTAGTTTCAAATCATCAGTACCATTGTTTGTGAGGTCAGTGTTATCACAGATTTTTCTATATGTTAAAAGTTTTACATGTTTGGATAGTAATGTCACATGTAAGCTATCTAGATTTTCCTGTATTTGGGCACAAGACTAGTATCTCTTTCATTCATTGCTCTAGCCCCAACATCTTGCACAGTATGAGACACATAGTAGGTTCTCAATAAATATTTGATAAATAAATAATAAGCACAATGTTGAAGTAAAAAATTTCACAAAACTTGATTTTACATTTTAATATAGGACATCAGTGGTCACACCAACCAAGTGGCAACGTGAATCAGCTGCATAGACGTGAAAAAAACAAGTGATCTTCTGATGTAATGTTTTTCCTTCTCTTGACATAACCAGTGGCAATAGCATTTTTTAAAATTTTTATCTAAGATAGCTAATGGATACCAGACTTTTTATAAATATTTTCTTTATTTCCTGGAACTCAGAGTCGCAATTCACTCGGTACACACTTATATTCAATAATATTGTGTGGTATTGATATGTCTAATTTAAATACATTCCTAAATAATACCTTCATTTTTTTTTTTCTCCTTTTATTGAACTACACTGGAGCCCCAGTGGCACGGTGGTTAAGAGCTTGGCTGTTAACCAAAGGTTTGGCAGTCTGAATCCACCAGTCGCTCCTTGGAAACCCTATGGAGTAGTTCTTCTCTATCCTGCAGGGTTGCTGTGAGTCGGAACCAACTCAACAGCACCTAACAACGATAACAGCAACAACAATTTAAATATATTCCTAAATACCTTCATTTTTTTTTTTCTCCTCTTTTTGAACTACATTAGTAAATGATCTGTGGGCTTTTTATAAAATATTTCCTAGTTCAGCAGTTTCCAGATAGTTATAATGAGCCTAACCCCATAGCAGTGCTAAAGAGTAGATTGTTGGTGTTATTTGCTGTCAAGTCGGTACCAACTCATGGTGACCCCATGTGTGCAGTGTAGAACTATTCATAGGGTTTTCAAGGCTGTGACCTTTCAGAAGTAGATTGCTGGGCCAGGTGCTTCTTGGTGGGTTCCAACTGCCGGCTTTTGGGCTAGTTGTGGGGCGCTTCACCATTTGCACCACCCGTACCAAAAAAAAAATCCAAATCTGTTGCCACTGAGTCGATTCTGACTCATAGAGATCCTATGGGACAGAGTAGAACTGTCCCACATGGTTTCCAAGGAGCAGCTAGTGGATTTGAACTGCCAGCCTTTTGGTTAATAGCCATAGCTCTTAACCACTAGGCCACCAAGGTTTCCTTGCACCACCAGGAACTCCAAAGAGTAGATTAGAGATTTAGCCTGCCCAACCTTCTCCCTTATACAGTCTCGATTTAAACACACACACGCTGTGCTTCTATGCCAATGAAGTTTCAAAATTATTTCCTTAAGTCCCCCTTCCAACCTGTGATGCCTGAACTACTAGCTTCAGACTACTGCAGAATTAATATCCTAGAACCCTGCCACTCAAATTCTGGTCCACGGACCAGCAACATTGGCATCACCTGGGAGCTTGTTAGAAATGCAGGATGTCAGGCAGTACCCTAGACCTACAGAACCAGAACCTCATCTTCAGCATTTTAACAAGATCTTCATCTTGCATCCTCTATATGAACATTAAAGTTTGAGAAGCATTGATCTTAAAGTCTACATTCAAGAACTGATCTACTGAGACTTCTAGCACAGAAAACATCGTATTTAATGTTGAGCAAGGGATGTTATGGCAACAAACAACGAATGAGTTGGTAAGTTTTTTTTATTTATAGTTAACAATAGTTTCATGTTTTCTGTTTCGTTTCAAGGTATCAGTGTTGCAGGCGGATGGAAGAGGCTTCCTGCAGAAAGGCGCGCTAGCCAGTTATTCCTATTTCCTGTTGGCTAGATTTGCAGAGCGTGAATGATTGGTTCTGTCTGAGCCATGGCTTAAAACGTAACACATTTTTTATACAGTATACAGATCGTTTCAACTATCACAAATTCCTGTCAAATATTAACACTACTTATGGTTTCTGAATCGAGAGGGGGAATACCTTCTATTATAAAACCTTGGAATAAATTCATGGGCTAGTTTCACCCAGATATTTGGGCAGCACAATGTATCACATAAAATCTGATTTTCAGATTCAGGAAATGGAGAAGATTAAGATAGTGTTTGAGATTTAAGAGATTTCAAGCCAGATGACAACGGTAAGCTTTATTTGTGAAACCTGCTAGTTACCTGTGAGAAGGTGGATGTAGCAAACCAGACTCCTTTGTTTGTTCCTTCTGATGTAAACCCAGCCTCAGACTGAGTGAATTGTTGCAACTCCAAATTCATTACAAAGTCCCAGTGGCCTGCAGGTGAAGATCACCCTCCGTTTTCACCAGACTTAATCCAATCTTAGCCTTGTTCCCTGCTGGAAACGAAGTATGGACATTGAAGCTGAAGCTCACTGATAAAGCCATTAGCTAGAAAACTCTTGTCAGAACTAATTACAATACACCGGAAATATATTTTTCCTCTCTTCCAGTCTTCTTAAATTGAGGGGAAAAATCTGTAACAACAATTACAAAGCGTGGCTTATGACATTCTTTTGTCAATTTGGTTTAAAAAATATCTTTTTAGGTTATTTCTCCTATGGGATGTAGCAAAAATACTAAATTTCTATTAAGAATTCCTGATGGGTCACTAGATGAATCCTTCAGCGATATCTGTGTTATTTCTATGCCTCTCAGCAAAACTACCTATTTAGATTAAATTATGCAAATTATCAAACAACATCTGGTCTTCTGGAAATTTAGTTCAACATGAACTAAAGCAGCATGCTGTTTGGAGATATAGTTCAAGATAGACTAAGGTGGTTTGTTTGTTGATACCAGAATGTTCAGCTTCAGTAAACATACTGAGAAGCTCTTGTGCCTTGTATGTGCTATTTAAAAAAAAAAAAGTTTTGTTCCTTTTTTTTTTTAATTTGAATGAAGTGTATGTAAGTTTTGTAATTGTAATTAGCAAATGGAATAACAGGCTGCATGCTTTTTGGTACTGACTTTGAGAGTTTAAAGCAGATTACCTTTTAAAACTACACAGCTGAAGAACTCACATTTAATCAAAGAGAAAATGATGTTAAACTTTTCAAAGTCTTTGTTAGACAAAAATTCAACACAAGGAAACTAGAAGGCCAGAGGATAATGGAATAAAAGATCTTGGCAATTAGTCCTTGCTAACCATATAATATAAGGAGTTTTACAGTAAATGCGTTAAGGAAAGAGTCAGCATCAGCCAAATGCATTTTATGGTTATTTGAGTGCAGTTCTTTGAACAATAGGATCGCCGTCTTTTTCAGACTTTTTTTTTAAGAGCTAAAGATTTTAACCTGATAATCTGCTTTAAGAAATCTCAGAAGATATGATACATTTTTACTTTTATCTTAACTTAGCATTTTTTTGGTCCCATTTTTCACTACCTAAAGTGCCAGATTGGAACCGATAGCTACTGCTAGAAGTCTTAATGGCAACAGCAGCGCGTGCTATATTAAGAGTTTAATGCAGCCAATTTTTTTTCAAAGCGCAGTACTAGATCTCTTTTCCTAGACAAGATTCTGTTAGGAGTTCCCTCATTTATCACTATTTTTTTTTTTAATTTGAGTAAACTTGTCAAACTGAAAGCAAAGAAAAAAGGAGGGATTTTTCTCCTTTTCTCACTAGAGAACTGTTAATTTTTTCCCCTTTAAATCTTTTATGTAATTATTCAAAAGCATGAAAACATTTTCATTAAGTTGTAATGGTTCCCTTTCTGTTTTTATACTATGGACAACTGTTAAAGAATTTTTGGTTTTGTTTGTTTCAGTTCTAGGGGATGATAATTTTTTTGGAAATGATCGCATATCTCATTAAATATGAAGTATATATTATACCTGAGAGAAGAAAGCAACAAATAAACCTACGTTTTGTACATAGCTATAAAATTTACTTTTAAATTATTTTAAACATTTTACTTTAAAAAAAGTTATTGGCTTAACTCAAAGTCGAAAACAAGTTTACACTTCAACTGTCCTGATTATCCATTAAACTGATAATCTTTATTTTTCCTGTGTTTGGAAATTCTACTATACACACATTAGGATATAAGAAGTTTTTCATTTAAAAACTATTGTACAAACTGCCTCTTATACATTAGTTAACTTTTTGCTATTGCGCAATGGAATAGGTTTTGCTTTTTCAAAGATAAATTAAAGAAAAATATTTCATCTAAATATAAATGACCAGACATTCGAGGAAGTGCGTTTCCACCAATTCCCTCCTGTTATGTCCGAATAAAGTCTGGTTGATCACGAAGTTGAAATTGCCTTTGCGCTGACAATCGAAATTGCTTTGAATATATACTTTTCTTAATCGTCTACTAGGGCTACTCATGGCAAAATTCATGTCTACAGCCTGGCTGTTACATAGGGTTTTGTTTTTCTTTTTTTAAAGGGAGGAGGGAGGATGGGTGAATGAAGTAATTGCTCATTAGTAGTAATTAAATGATTCTCAGGACAGTCAGTGACAGACTATGAAATTCGTGTACACTGCAATCAGCAGAGAACTATTGGAAATATGGCATATGTTTGACAAGAAAAAAACTATATTCACTAGGGAAATCAAATGCAAAAGATTTATAAACGTGTATAAAAAATTACTCTAGAAATACTGTTGTTCATGCTTCAAGGAAGAAAACACGTGAAAACCTGTTACGCCATTATATAATGAACTAGAAATTCTTCCCTATTTTGAATTACATGTAAACTTGCTGCGCTGGCTCAGAGGTCAGTCAGCCGTAGACTCTGGTGTATACTCATCACATGATCGCGTACTTACCTGTGAAAGGGATGGCTCTGATACTCCTATGAGTTACAAAATAAAAGTATGAACCTACGCAAACCACAGAAAATGGTCAATGCAAGCCCACTTCCATTGTAAACCACGTAAACCACGCGGGAGATACCCCAGTACGACCGTTCCCTCCATGGATTTTTCACAAATAACATATATCTGTACGTAAGATCCGCCTGCAGAAACCTGTTTTTCCCCAGTAGACAACCACCTGACTTAATCCAACATGTTTTCGCAGCCTACACTCCTTTTTCCACATACTGAGCCTACTTAGATGTGGAAGAGGACCCTGTTATACACCTTACGTATTTGTTACTCTTGTACAAAAGATACCACTGGAATTTTTTAACCTTGTCTTGGTAAAAAAATTATAGATTCTAATTTTTATTGAAATATTAGCAATTTGAATATGTAACTAATTATTCAAAGCATTAAATAAATGCCAACATTAAAGCCTTCTGGATTTAAAAATTGAGCAATCTCTTCTCCACTGGACTTCCTTTAGAATTCATTACCAAAAGATCTTACTTGGTTCCTTGACACAGGAAATGGTTGTTATACACGCTAATGGCCCTTTCCTTTTCTCTTTGCTGTGGTGGATTTGCTCTTCTTCAATAGAAGTATCCTGATTCGTGAACACTGGACATCACTGAGGGGGTGAATTCAAGGAGGCTTGTTTCAAAGACGATCCCTGGATGACGCAAACGGTTTGTGCTCAAGTACTAACCTAAAGCAGCCCCGGTGACGCAGTGGTTAAGAGCTTGGCTGCTAACCAAAAGGTCGGCAGTTCGAATCTACCAGCCCCTCCTTGGAAATTCCACGGGGCAGTTGTACTCTGTCCTGGAGGGTCGCTATGAGTCAGGATGGACTTGAAGGCAATGGGTTTGGTTTTTGTTTTTAGTTCTGGTACCAACCTACCCTACGGAGCAGTTCTACTCCGTAACACACAGGGTCGCCATGGGTTGGAATCGACTTGACAGCAACGGGTTTTGTTTGAAAGAAACTCCTGTAGAGCAAAAGCCGTGAACATAAAGACTCCCTCAGTGTAGTCCAGTGGAGCAGGAGGCTCTGAAATGGGATATGTTTTTTTTCCCTTCCTCAAAATCCCCTTAAAATGTGATTAAAGAGGCTGCTCTACCACAGTGCAGCCTAGGCTGCTAATAATGCCTCTTGCACCGTTAACTGTTCTTAGACCAACAAAAAGCTCGAATATGATAACACTGCGCAGTGCCAAAGAGACAAGTTTAAATCACTTGCAGCCCTTTCTGGTTACAGGAAAGTGACAGTGAAAACAAATCTGTTGATAATGCCCAAAGACAGATCTTTCTCTGGTGGTCTTGCTTATAGGCAGTATGCAGGATTTCTGGAGTGTTCACTGACAGCTGAGGGAAAATGTCTATAAAATTATTTGTTAAGTTGGCTTATTTCTGAGTAGAAACTAAACCAAAGGGGAAACTTTTAGTAATTGATTTTAAGCTCTTATACTGTGTAAGGGGGCTCCTTGCTGCTGAGAAAGGACAGTATTATTTTAGTTTTAATCTTACCTGAAAAACACAAGCTCTGATTTATGTTGCAGCTTCCAGGGAACGTTTAACAGTGTAAGGAGCTCAAACCTGACCTGAATTTATTAATATTGAATAGTTCTTATCTGATGGATAAAGATGCTTAACCAAACTGAGAAAAACATAATACTTCAAAGTAGAATTCTGTTGGTACCGAATTGAAGAACTGATAGCATGGAATGTTTCTGTTCTTCTGTTTCTTACTCAACTATGAAAGCAAGGCTACTATTGTCAGAGTTTAGCTTGCATGTCTTTTTCCTGCCAGGATGATGGTCCTCTAACGCCTAGTGTGAAAAGCATCCTAAATGACCTAATCAAACATTTATTGTGTGAATGTTAAATACGAAAAACAACCAACCTTAATTACACACTGATCTTAGAGTAAAATGCAAACCTGTTTTAAAGTTCTTCAGAAAGTGTATTTAGGCAAAAAGTAGAGAATTTGGATGAGCCCCAGAATAGCAATTGAGAATCCACTGAAGGAAAGTCGGTATACACGTGAGCCGCTCAAGGACAGCTGTTGGCTTGTCTTTCATGCTGACTCTCTTTATACACAGGCTTTGCAGGGATATTTAGTATCTCGAAGTTTATGATCTCCAAACCCAGGCGCTTCAGGGACAGGTTGTTAGCTGAGCGACAGTGCTGATTCCACTTGTCCATAGATGGCTCCGTCCCTGGGGTTCTTCTAACCCCTTTGCAACAAAGGCATGTTTTAAACTAGTAACCGCCAATGACTGCTTTGTGTATTCCAGAGTATCTTCTTAACACCAGTTAAACTTGTTGCCGTCAAGCTGATTCCAATTCATAGTGACCCTGTAGGACAGACTAAAACTGTCCCATAGGGTTTCCAAGGAGTGGCGGTGGATTCGAACTGCCGACCTTATGGTTAGCAGCTGAGCTCTTAAACCACTGCACCACCAGGGCTCCAGTTAGTGTATCATTAAATGGCAGAGTCTGTACTGCCAAAGAGAATTTAGCTTTATCTGCAAGGGAAGGAAACAGAACCCTAAGTTTACCAAAAGGACACTAACAATAAGCAATGCTAATTCTGGTCTAGAAAAAAGAAAACCAAACAGGTGTATGACACCACAGATGAAACGGTCCCCATCAAGACCCTTCAGGCCTGTGACATAAGAAGGAGAATGAGATGTAGAAGGTAAGTTCCTCTGGGCTTTTCAAACTGGAACTTCATAACGACTTGGAAGCCAAATGACGATGTTCAGTCTGAGGCTGAAGGAACCCCAGCTTCTCAGCATGCTGCTGGATAAAGTTATCTTTGTCTTTGGGAGAAAGAGGAGCCAACAGAACTGTGTGAAAGCAGCCATTTTTCCCTGCCGTGGCAGTAAAGTCAGGGGGAAGATGATACTCCTGAACGCCTCTGTCATGCCGTGAAGGCCTGGGTGCAAAGACAGTATTGGCCAGGCTATCTTCACAAAGAAAATTAACAGGAATTTTGGAGGAAAGTGGCTTGGTTCACTCAATAACTATGAGCTATGGCTGTAGGGCCACTGAGTTGGAATCAACTCGACCGCAACGTGTTTGGTTTGGTTTGGGTTGGTGGCTGTGAAGCAAAGAAATGGATTTATGCAAGTGACACATTGCTTATTTGAATTGGGAGGATGGTGGGCCTCACAGCTCCCATCCAGGCAGCCTAAACACAAGCCGTGGGCCCAGAGCATTCTCCGATAGGCAGGCTGGGAGCTGGGTCTCTCTCCTGATTTCTTCTCCTTATCAGGGAAGCCTTTCCCCGTTCTGGGCGCATGGTAACTTTCTCCGCTCTGTTCATGCGCGGGTACCACATGGCACCTGGCCAGCCCCACTGCTATCTGTTCTGGCAGGAAGGGAACAGGTCTCTCTCACTGGGTCACAGAAGGGTGGCGCACACCTGCTCTCCCAGCAGCGGGAGGGAACTCACTGGCCTTGGGAGACTAGTGCCCATGATCGAGGCTGAGCTGGCTCTGTCTCTTCTTTGTGTGAGTTAAGCATTGCTGTGCAATGAATATGGCCCTTCAAGCCATAGTCTTTGTAATTCCCACCAAACGATCAGGTGGGACCATAAGGTCTATGAAACCCTAACAAGGGGGTTGGTCAGTTTTGCCAACCTGCTAGGTTTAAAATGAGCCATCCCAGAGGTGGGAGGAGGGGCTCTCACCACCACCAAGGAAGAAGAGCCAGGAGTGGAGCATGCCCTCTGGACCTGGGATCCCTGTGCTGAGACCCTCCTAGACCCAGGAGACAGGCAGTGAGCTGTAACACCAAAGACGGCAAGACCAGGAGAAGCAGCGGCAGAGACAGCAGAACCACGAGCCCGGCAGAAGGTGCAGTGGGATTCCTGACCCACAGAGCGAGAAAGCTGAGTGCCTTTGGGCAGGAGGCTTGCTGGGGAGTAGGGTGCCTCCAGGCACTCGGTGGAGCCAGGTTTGCCCACCAACTCGAAGCTAGAGCTGAGTGCCTTTGCGGAGGCTTATTGGCGGAGTGGGGTACCTCGGGGCGCTTGCTGACAGAGCTAAAAGAGCTTTGTGACACTTGCCCAGTCAGGGCAGAAGCCGAGGGGCTACAAGAGCTTTGTAACACTTGCCTGAGCAGGCGGAGGCCGAGGGCCAGAGAGAGACCCGCCTTGGAGCAGGGCTGGGAAGAGGCCGTCCTGATGGAAGAACTGTATCCTGCGCGTTCCTGAACCTGAACTGGAACCTGTTACTTCCCTAATAAGCCCCGTAACCGTGAGTATTATCTGTGAGCTCCGTGTGGCCATTACAACCAATTACCGCGCCCACAGAGGAGCAGAGAGTGCGTGGGAGGGACGGTGGGTGTCAGAGTTGGTCAAGATGGCGGAGGGAGGCGGCGCGTCTGCTCCCGCCTCGTGGGAATCGGCCGGGGCTGTGGATCTTGCTCCTCCTTCCCCTGGTGAAGTTAGAGGAGGTCAGGGGCAAGCACCACGCCATTTTTACAGCATTATTCCAGGCACTGTATGTGATTTGTGCCCTCTGTCGGTGAACTCGAACCTTGACAGGACAGATTGCTTGCTTTTACACTATTCCTTAAATGTAACTGTTTAATGCCGTGAAAATAATTTAAACGCGTTAGGATTAATGGGAACTCTCCTGAGAAAGCACGTGAATGTCTTCTATTTTCCCAGAATTGATGCTCCGTTGTGCTGATTTTCATTTAAGCTCTTTCCTACTACAGTAATTTTTTTTTTTTTAACTTTTAAATTCTAAAATGATGGGGAATTCTGCAGGACTTTGATGATTTATATATAATCCCATAGTTCTACAGTGTTTTACATAATTAAAAGGCAACGTTGTGTTATATACGAAACATCAACCCTCATACAAATTACATGCTCCCCCAACACAGCAAATGGCATGTGTGAATGTGCCTTAACTCACTATAAAATGCCTACATTTTGAAGAAACCATTTAATCGATCTTATTTTTTTCCTACTCCTTTCAAGTTAAAAATTATAGGTTCTAACACATAGGTTCATTCTATGGAAGTGAAATCATGTCTAAATATTCGTAACTTGATTTTACCTTTGGTTGTTTACCCAAAGGAGCCATTGCATTTGTCACTTCGGATGACATGGCAAACAGGATAGGGTCCCTTGAACTTCCTGTAGTAGAGGGGTAGGCAAACCTTTCTGTAAAAGGCCAGATAGTAAATGTTTTAAGCTTTGCAAGCCAAGAAGCAAAACAGATATAGGTACTTATATAACAAGAGACAACATTTCTGTTGAAATTAAAAATTGAGTATTTTGTTTCTTTTTTGGTATACAGGCTTACTAATGAGAGGAATGGAATTTTGGGAGAAGGGAATAACATTTTGGTTAATTGGGGCTCTATGTTAGTGTCCCTATCCTTCAAATTGATTGCAAATGTTCATCTGTGGATGCTGATATGTAATGAGATTTTGGTTTTCATCTTTGAAAATGTCATTTCACACAGAAAGGTACTGCCAAGTAGACATCAACCCACGAGCGTATGATTTTGACCACATTCGTCACTTGGAAGGCGTTTATAGGGCTCTATCAAGTCCCTTCTTGGTAGTTATCTTTTAGCATGTCACCCCATTGCAGATTAATCACTTCCAATTAATGATTAGATGGGAACTCCTCAATTGTAGTTAAATCGACTTTGAAATTATGAAACTTTTCTTTGCATTTACATCCAGACTAAAAAAAAAACTGCTGGAGCTGTACTTGGGCTTGGAAAATACAGCTGCTGCATATTTACTGGGGGTGGAGACCTCGCTTGTTTTGATTTTTAACAGCACGCAAAGTGTAGAAAGCAGCCGGACATTCTTCATTCAAATATTTTTGTTGAAATGACTTTAATGTAACTTTCCCACGTAAGCACCGTTTACCTTGTAATTTTAGGCTCAATTCATTAAGAAACATGATCAAGTCTGCAGCAAAAGCCAATTTCCTAAGCTACTCAGTGATTGAAAATAAGTAGGTGAGGATGGTTCTTCTCCTTCAGAAAAACTTCAGTCTCAGCCCCGAGTGCAAAAAAAATTGCAGGAAAACTACCACTAAGCCATCGCACTACTGTATGGGAGCCTAGTCAGAGTATCGGTTTCTATTTCTCACAAAAATCCAGGACCTGACCATGGTTAAGTCCATGAGTGAATGAAGCTCACCATTGACGCTACTAGTTCATAACACAGGATACCAGTATTTTCTGCAACGTACCTGCTGATAATAAAATGAATAACCACAGTCAGAATCAACTACATTTTCACAAGCTTTGTATATTTAACCAGCTAAACCTTCTTCTGCTCCGTGTACATTTTTACCACCAGTTGTATCACATCTTAGATTCCACACTTCAGGTTGTAATGAATTACTGTTTTCTCAACTTGTTTGAAAATATTTTCACCTGTAGGTGTTCTGCAGAGTCTGTTAATAGGGACCAGTCCTTCAGTCACTCCAAACTCAGCATTCCTTTGGCCGAATAAAATAACAGTTGAGCAATATTGATAGCACCTGTCAACTCAAGTCAGATAACCACTTAAAATAATTCTTTAATTGACTATTGACGTTATTCCCAATGTCATTCTTCGAGCGACTCTAACCAAAAGTGTAGTAGTCTTAAGTTTATTTTCTCTGGACACAATCCTTTAGGTTACTGCAATCAGACATGATTTAAGTAACTCACCATCAGTAAACGGCGCTCCTTGCTTGGCTGACAAATGGGCAAACGGCCAACAAAATAAACTTGGCTTGCAGCCTCATTTCCGGGTTTTATTTTTGGGAAGAAACTACGCTGCAATGAGATACTATACTTGACATTTTCTAATTCTTTTGATTTGTTGTTCTGTGAGTTGGGCATATTGGGATGAGTATCGTCTGGTAACGTCAACATGTTGTATTCCTTTAGCACAGCTAAGGCACAGTGAACAGAATGCTTTACCATGTAAGTAGATAAAATACCCACACTTCACTCCGTCTTAAAAGCACAACTTTCCAAGTATACTTCTCTTGTTTTGACGTGATGGGGATGAACTGGTAATAGAAAAAATAAAACGTTGAGGTGCGGCAATACACACGACACTCGAAATGCTGCCGTCAGGGCCCATCTGTGTCCCTGTGATTTGTAGCATGCAAAGCAGCAGTGCGAAATAATGAGCAACACAGGCAGTTTCTGTAGCAACTACTCAGCTCTGTCATTGTACTGCGAGGAAAGTTTTATGTAAATGAACATGGATGCATTCCAATAAAACTTTATTTACGGACACTGAAATTAGAACTTCATATAATTTTCGAGTGTCAGGATATATTATTATTCTTTTGATCTCCCCCACCCCCAACCATTTAAAAACAAATTCTCAGCTCATGGCCCTTCTAAAAACAGGCAGCAGGCTGATTTTGTCCCCCAGGTCGTAGTCTGCATATCCCTGCTCTAGTGGATTTAATACAGTTGAGTCCAGAATAAATGGCTAAGGAACATTAAGAAACTGCCAGCCAAATACATCCAAAAGCTAGACTTAGTAAAGATCTCAATGTTCCTCTTATGGAAGTTGTAAATATTATTACTTCTTAGGGATAGAAACCCAAATTGATATAAGCTATAAAATTCAGCAACTGCATGGCCACTAAGAAGCAATCTTAACACTTCCTATTTTTTAAGAAACTGAAGATCAGAATTACAAGAAACCAATTAGAGGTTTGCTATAGCGTGCCAGCTTTAAAAAGAAGCCATACGTAGTTATACAAAATGCATTTACTCTGTCAGTCTTTCAGAATAAATGCATTCTTGGAAAGGAGATACATACCAATTCTTAACACCTTGTTGAGGTATTCCTAAGGGGCAAGAGGCAGCCAACACTGTTGAAATGCCAAAGGCTCAGACTTGTTTTTCAGTTAAGACTAAATATCAGCTAGTTAATGAAGGAAGTTACTGAGTCCTATTCAGTTGCACAAATACAAACAGAATATCCCCCAAATAAATATTGCTAAACAAAATCACCAGTCATCAACATACATATAAGAAAACATTTCTGAAGCCTTTATTTACAAAAACTTTAAAAACAAATACCCTCTATTTTGCAAATAATATTTTGTTTAAAAAGGACCACCCAGTTACAGCATTGTAATATCATGACTCAAGAATGTACAAGGGGAACGAACCAATGTGGCTGGCATTTGGAGGTCTGCTAATATTACTGATCGAGGTGTAGAGAACACACATCACAGCCTGCAGTCCATCATTTCAGGGTAGTTAATGGCTACCAAAACATCTTCCTACACATGCTCTGGTCTGGTCACATTTTCTGCATGTCTAAATAGTTCACAGTCTCTTTTGTCAATATATATAAAATAGATTGCAAAGATATACACAAAAAAAATAAACAAGCATTACACTCCTCAGGTAATTTTATTAGCGCTCTCTCTCTCTCTCTATATATATATATACTTTGTATTTTGTTGTTTTGCACCAAATCTCACCGTTATTTATCTTTGTAGCAACCAGGAAAGTACAATGTTTGTCTTCTAATTTAATTTGGTACAAGATACCTAAAGGCTTCCTATCTTTGGACTTTAATGAAATTGATTTGTGGAATCAACAAATCAAGAGCATCATAAGTATGGCTATAAAATAAAAAAATAAGGGTAAACAGTGATGGAATAAACGAGGCAGATCAAGGGGTGTGTGCTATCATAAAATAACCGTGGCTTCAACGTCTTGGCTACCAGTTTCCTGGCAGGAACTCAAACTCCAATCACGAGGGATTTTTCCTGAAGGGTGTAAAGCTGGTTTGAAAAGTCTTCAGTCACAGAGCAGCCTACACATGCCAAGGAGAAACTGACAGACGGTAGGTGTGCGTGCAAGAGTCAACACTACACACAGAAACAGCAGTTACTAAGTTCCTCAGTAGTTTCTTTTGTCTTTTTTGTTAGTCTTGATGGATCAACAGTTTGCACAATGAATGTGCTATATTCCGTGGGACAAAAACAAGTAAATACTGTGTGAAGTGGGCAGATGGTCATTTTTTTCCAGCTAAGAGCAAGGGAAACCGAAATTTCTGATAAAACAGAGGATGTGAGTCAGAGTCACTCTCTAAAGTGCAAAATTGATGGTCCACAATCTCCAACAGCTAAAACTCCTGTAGGATGGCAGGGAGAGATACGGAACAGGGAAATAAATTACAGTCAGTGCTAGTTAATTTAGGAGAGGGGAAAACAAACCAAGCCCAAGTCAGTCAAGTTTATCGAAATAGTCAATACGACGGAGCTTTCCCCACTTTCTGTCACACACGCTTGCTACCAAGTGTATTAAGGCAGGGCCACATCAGCCTGAATGCTCTTCTATTTATTCAGATCTGAGATAGGAAAGGTCATACTGAGTACTGAAAGGCAGAAAATGAAACGGGCTACGGAAGGGAAAATTAAGGTACTGTCTCTTGTCTGAGGGGTTCAACCAGAGATAAAACCTATATACAAGCATGTGTGAAGCTCAAGTAAAATAAAATCCAAACAGAAGGGCTAGTCCGTGTCATGACTGCGTGTGGGCTTCCTCTTCGTAGGCATTCCCAGTGCCGTTCTGCACATAGGAGGAACCAGAACCAAGGCCATACAAGTGACCACAGTATTTGGCATCATCAATGTGATCTTCAAAGAACATCTAAAAAGGAATTTTTTGGGGAAAAAGAAAGATAATTTTAACCAAAAGAAACCACTTATAGTAACTTACACTCCAGCAATGTTACGTTCTGACAGTTCATTAACCATGATACGGCTCTTGTTGGGGGCGTTCCTCTGAGCTCACACATTTAAGGTCAAGGAGTAAGACTGACGTCTTCAAGTAGAGAGCTCAAAAGAAATTAAAAAACAAAAGACTACGAAAAAAATGTATAGACCAGTTTTATGAGAATTTGTAATCACGGAAAAATGGCATTTTTATCCCAACAGTTCAACAATATTCAACAGTTTTAAGAGTAAATGACAATAGCCAAGGATGGCAGGAAAAACAAAGTTTAGGTTTATAAGTTGCCTTGAATCTATGTGCGAGGCTCCTTGGCTAAAAATAACCAAACCATTCAATATGTTCTGGGCGGTAAAATCTGAACATTTATGCTAGGTTAGTCCTTGAAGAAGCCAAGAAAAATGAAGATAACAAAACAATGCCAGAGAATTTACCATTAACTGAACAATTAAGGCATTTTAAGAGATGCAAAGCTAAAAATTCAAAAGGTGGTTTTAATTCTCTAATGCAGCACTGGGAAGTACCAAAAAAAAAAAAACTTGTCATGAAGGTACAGTCTGAATCACTTCTGAACTAATTAATACCACTTGGTAAAAGTACTATTTATGCTTTCTATTATTTCATAATCTAAATTTTTGATTCTATAAAGAGCTTAGTCTTTCATTTCTTTCTAAACTGCATTTTAAGATGATTTATTTTTTAACAAGTTCTGGGGGGTGCAAACAGTTAACACTGAATAACAGAAAGGTTGGAGGTATGACTCCACCCAGAGGCGCCTCAGAAGAAAGATCTGGTGATCTACTTCCCAAAAATTCAACCAGTGAAAACCTATGGAGCACAGTTCTACTGACACACGAGGTCGCCGTGAGTCAGAATCAACATGACAACTGGCATTTTGGATGTTTAATTTCTGAACACCTTCATTCAGGTGTGGTGGATATGACCTATCTGGCACCTCTAATTATAGTTCACTTAGTATGTATTTACTGTCCAGAAACTTCTGCTAGAGATAAAATTTCTAATGTTCTAAAGACATAACTGAAAAAAAGGCACTGATGTCTTCATACTTCTCTCATTTTGAAAAAAGCCATTCCTGTGAGCAGTGAATCCGATCCCGCCTGATGCTGCGGTCCTATCCGTTCCAGCTCCAGCTGCTCAGCAACCTCCTGTAACCCACCCTGGAAGAAACAAAACCTGCCATCAGGACAGACAGAGAGAGAGAGTGCCATCCCTGAATCCACAAATCACACAACTCACCAATACATAAACAGGCCTTAGTACATAAAGATAGGCCTTATGAAGACGGGGAAAGACCAGAGAATGTGTATCACTGATGGATTTGTTGAATGTGGGAAAAGTCTGTAATGTAACAGAAAATGAGATTTTAACTGGGCAAATTCAATCTTCATCATATGTTTAAGGGATGTAACAGGCAAATTACTTTCCTACTAACCTAAAGATACGGGGGCAACAAATTATATCATACACAAGGTAACATTCATCAAGTACATTCATGGTCTATACACCCATTAATCGGTTTTGCAGTTTCTAAACTTAAACTTCCCACCAATCCAACTATTTTACATCTAAATAATTTTTATAAAACAAAGCCATTATGAGTAAGCAAATCATTAAGAATTCACTAACTGCTTAACTATGGTTTTGTTACTTAAAAAAACCCATACAACTCTTCAGAAGGTTCTGCTAAAATCTGCCTATGTTAACAGCACTAGGATTAAAAAAGAAAGAGACAGTGAAGGAAAGAGAAAAAGAATTGAGAGAGGAAAAAAGAAGGAAAGGAGGAGGGAACAGAGAGAAAAAGGAGGGCAGAACAAAGAAGAAAAATACACAAAACAAATTCTCCAAACGGTTACAGCCTCTACTAGCGAGCTAACCCTTCTACATAGCAGCTTGAAATACTGCTTTGCACAGCAGTGGCTTCTGTGCTAAAAATAGCAGGAGGCTTAGGTCTCATTAGCAACTGCTTAGGAGAGCAGAATAGGGTCATACGGTATGGTTGACTACTGGCTAAAAAGCACCTTTATCATTGACCTAAATTTTAACACAGCAATGCACTTTGAGCATATTCAGAATATCTGATATACCTAGAAATTTCCCAATAATACACATCTAAACCAAACCTACTGCCATCGAGTCTATTCCAACTTATAGTCATAGCGACCCTAAAGGACAGAGTAGAACTGCCACATAGGGTTCCCAAGGCCATAATCTTTACAAGAGCAGGCTGTCACATCTTTCTCCTGCAGAGTGGCTGGTGGGCTCGAACTGCCGACCTTTTGGTCAGCAGCCAAGTGCTTTAACCACTACACCACCAGGGCTCCTCAGTATACATACAATGAGCAATAACTTGGTTCTTTGTTCCTGAAAACTGTTGTTATAAGGACATGTCCATTCTAAAAAGCATGTCCAAAGCCAGGTTACAACATGCTGGCCCCGGGTCCTCAGCGTGCACTACTCTCATTGACTGGGCTGAGTTTCTGGAGCGGTAAGGACATCCTACTCATGTTTACTTGAGTCACAGCTGCAAGAGTCTCCTCAACCTGCACACGATTCTGCTGCTCTTAGCTGCTACAAACACAAAGAAACCTTCCTTTAAATTCCCCTGGTTCCATGCTGACCAGGTTGGATGAGAGGCAAACAAACGTTGGCCAAAAGATCACTTCTCTTATGATTTTCGGTTCAGCTGTTAAAAGCAAGTTTCCTTATTCAAGTCCTAAGTTGTTTATTTCTGCTTAAAGGCAAAGCTCTTGAAGTCCCTGCCATCTCCTAAAAGTACAACCTTATCTGCACTTCTGAAACCTGGTAAGGAAAAAGTAGACCAACCCTGGTTTCAATGGAAAAAGAACTGGCAATGTAGGTCTATGAAACAACCATTTTGCTAAAATATTTTGTTGTTGTTGCTATATTTTAAATACACACAGAGCTGAAAACAACAACAAAACACACTTGTATTCCCTCTCTGAAGGAGTACTTTTCCCTATTAAGAGACCTTCCTTTGGCAAGAATTAGTATTTAGAAGTAAAGAACTATCACACCCGCCAAGCAGCGGCAGAAGGTCAGCCACTGTCTGGGCAGGGCCTACACTTACTGCTTACCACAAACAAGCCGACTCTGTTAAGCCGGGGGAATCCAGTTAGCTGTGCGATTTAATCCTGGAAACACTCTTCTGTAACCAAAGCCAACAAAACAGCCTCTAGTGAAGGGAAGCTGAAGGGAAAACGCTCTTCAGCACACTAACTAAAAACAGCTGCCGCCCCGGCCTCCTCAGATCTGATCTGGTGGAGACAGACCACGTGTTTACTGGGAGAGAGAGAACCCACACTTTTGTGCAGGTCCATCTCACTAACGCTCCCAGTTCTGTCCTGGTTCATGGTTTTCAGTCTGGAAAATTTGACCCTTGGTTTGAATTTTGTGGAAAACTTATCCTGGCAATATATACTGAAGCTTTGAAAAAAGGATGTTGTTTTCTTATGCATGAAAAAGAATCAAAAGACCAGCTACTGTAACTGCATTTAATATTAAACTAAAAAATGGGGTTTGAAACAGCATTCCATTCTAGGATCTCACGTCAGTCACTCAGTCTGAATAGTGTGCTGATGACAGAAAATGCCACTCGGAACCTTACTTTGAGATTTTTGCAGCTCTTCATGAGGTACTTCACATCATAAATCACAGGAAAAAACAACCGAAGGATCTCAAAGAAGTCAAGTTCTTCTTCAGGCAAGTTAGAGTTGGTCAGGATTTTTATTAAATAGCCAAAGTCATAACCACTGCAAAAGGAGAGGAACACATAAATATTATAAAGACAAAAAAAAAAAAAAAAATTCTGATACAAATTCTGAGCGAGTCATGCCAGGAGATCAACCACAACACCAATACAAGAACAGAACAGGACAAAAATGCTTCGTTGTAATGGAAAATGACATCCTACAGACAGTGCTAAGAACTTGTTACTTTAATTTCATCATTCAGAGACAGCGATATACAGATCTATTCTACCATCCCAAGCCTGCAGGAACGAAAATACCAATCTGCTGGTCCTTTAACAGAGAACACCTTCAGAAGAATATCAAATTTCCCATAAATGGAAATGGAGAAATAAAGATGAATGCAAAGTGTCAAAAATCTCAAAAAACAGCAAAAGAATTGGCATTCTGAAAACAAAAATTATGCAAATTTTCTCATCTTTACATAAAGTGATCGTATACTTCAAAAGTCCAAAGATTAAATTCCCTAACAAAGTTTTTTCACTTCCCCTAAGTGACTTTCTTAGTAAGTTCTCTCTTCCCTGGCTAATCTTCCCACCTCAGCATGGCTCCCCAAAGTGTATCAGGGATAAGAACGCTGCGCACGAAAGAAGGGAAGGTAGTAAACGCCGAGAACCGCCGTCCTAGAAAACAGAATACAAACCCCACGCTCTCAGCATCTCCTACCTCTACCACCTGGCCTCTCCACAATCTTACATCCCACCCCCGTGCTACAATTACACATCATTTTCTCCATCCACCTCTTCTTCTAGGACCTCTTCCAGGAAGCCTTCCGTGGAGAGCCCAGCTCCCAGGGATTTCTTCCGTGGCACAAGCTGTTTTCTTGTACTACCTTTTAAAGTGTACAGCTTTCTCCATTAGTTTAAAGGGCAGCGATCACATTTTAAAAATATATTTTCTTCCGTAAAAGTACTTGGAACTGATATTTTATAACAGATGCTATTAACATATGTTTTGGGGGATACAAAATGAAATTTGTGTTTAACGTTCAGGATATTTACTTTTAGTAGACCAAAATCTTATAGCTTGACAAACATTCACACATACAGGTTGGACTTAAGACTCTAAGCTGTAAGAAGACATGAACCCTGCCTGTTTTTGTTCATCTTAATACCCCCAGTGCCTACCACACCGTATTTGTTGAGTGCATTTTTCGACTGAAAGAACATGCCATATATAATAAAAGCACAGGAAAATGTTTTCCAGTTCTTTTGTATCTACTTTTGAGTAAAAATAACCCAAACATTTTTCTCAGATTAACGGACTTAAGTCTCATCTCTTGAGGTACTGGCTCAAGGGGAGAGCAGGGAGAAAAGATGGTTGGTGAGAATCAGTACACTCAGTACCTCCCACGCACAGTGCCTGCTCAGCGTTGCAGGAGAGTTTACACCACCCACAGTCCTGCACTATCATCGCTCCACAGACCAGAGGTGGGGACTCACATGTAAAATAAATTTGAAGTAAATTTAAAATAGATGTGAGTACGAGAGCATTAACACCTGTGTAATACGATGCTTTAATATAACGTAACAAAAGGCCAAATAAAATCATGCCCAAGGCCACTCTTAGCCCCTGCTCTGCTGGCTTAGTTCAGTTCACTTAAGAAAAGTCCTTCTCTCAGCTTGGAAGTGATTTCCTTTCTAGAAAAAATCTATTTTAGAATAATAATAATTAAAAATCTACCACTTATTAATAACTTACTGTGAGCAAAGCATTTTCCTAGATGCTTTCAATGTATCAGTGATCATTACAACCAGCCTGTAAAATACCTGCTGTAAGTGATGCTTCCCGAACACCCTGTTACAGGAAAGAACCCGCCTCCACACACCCACCCCCAGCATTTCTCACCTACCTTGGCTGTTTTATTTTTCTCCATAGTATGGATATCACTAGCTAACAAAGCACAATACAACATTTATCATTTTTAAAAACTGGCTTGCCCCAACCTGCCAAAATGTAAATTCCCGGAGGACAAAGACTGTAGTCTTTCTCGACAGTTCAGTCCTTAACACAGTGCCTGGTATGTGGTGGACACGTAATAAGATCTTTTAAATGAATGGTTTCCCTTCCAAAAAATATTTAAAAAAGAAAAAGGAAAAAGCTAAGGCTTAGAGATGTTAAATAACTCTAGGTATTACCAATTCCAAATGGCACTGCCAGATTTAAACCTAGGGCATTCTCTTTCTCCAGCCTGTACTCGTTCCACTATGCAACACTGCCTGTGACAGGCCAGGATGGATCCCAAATCATTCAGTTAACCTTCAAGTAGACAAACGTTGGCCTTGCAGAATTAGAAAAGCTATACTGCAGCCAGTTCCTTCTAGAACCGGACTGCTGCCGCGGTGACACAGGCAAGTATGAAGCAGGTACGAGACGGTGACACAGAGGCACTTCCATGTGGCCTTTTTACCTATGAAATGACAACCACTTGACCCCTTCACAGAGGACCACTCCCGACGTCATGAGGAGTTCTGCAAAGTACTGGGTCTCAATTCCTTCCTCCTCGTGCTTTTTAAACTGGATACCGGATGTTGTCAGCAGCTCTATAGAGTCTTGGGCATACATGTCCTCCCTGGCAGGAGAGAGAGAGAGACAGCATTCAGAAGTGCCCAACTTCAAACAGACTGTGCTTCCCACTTCCACCCACAACGACAGTGCCAGAGACAACAAGACACAGGATCTCTTCCAAAGACTTACATATATGCAAAGAATATATGATTTCAATATCAAGGCCATTTTTTCAGGAAAGTATTCAATCCTTAAATTATCATTCAAAGAAGTCCAATGATGAGATTTTGAAGATTAGCCGTTCACATGTTAAATAAGCTGGGTTTGAAAAAAGGGTCTTCTGCTCACCAGGCACTACCGCCAGAGTGACAGACCAGTTCTTTCCTGGGCTCTGAGGCTCAGCAGCCACTTGAACGCTGCCGGACGGCACCGCAGAGCCAGCTGTGAGGGCCTGTATCACCCGCCGTGCTCTCTGCAGCACCAGGAAGAGACTAAATGGAAGCGTTGGATGTGGCCTAGTAAAACTACATTCCATCTTATAGGAAAAGGAGACGCCTCCTCTGACAAATGAGGAGCCTTTCAGATGGCTCCAATCAGAAGTGCTTAAAATTAAGGACTCCGCTGTGATGGCTATAATTTCTCCTTCCAACAATCCTAATCCTAAAAGATTACCTCCCGAAATCAAGCCAGGAAATCTAGGTACCACCAATCCTTCAAGATTTCCCTGAAGTCAAAAAGAAAGCCACATCTAATTTCCAAGCACAAATACACAAGTATCCAAAATATTAAATTTAAAAAAAGTTATCAAAATGCAAGTTATGTTTCTGAGAATGAAAAAACACTCTGTGATTGGCCATTGGATTTAACTTATTTACTTTTTTAAATTGTAAGATTTACCAGTTTCACCATGGAACAAATAACAAAATTCTATTAAAAGCCTTAACAAGACTAATTAAACCAAAACGTACATTTTATTTGGGCCAAAAATTACTCCTACGGCGTATTCCCTGGAAATCAGTTTACTTTTAAATGTCTTAAAAAAACTGCAAAGCTGGTAACTGAAGTACTAAAAACAGAGGAAAACTGCAACAATCACTTTCAGTCAAATTCTGCCCTGGAAAACCCTTTAAGATGCCACACTGGGATACCTGAATGACTTCAATAAAAGTTTCCTCTGTTAAACAACACACTTTTGGCCTTACTGTACCAAAAACATGTACCTTTAACAACTAGATCTCACTCAGCAGGTCCAGAGGCTCCCATTGAGAAGCATGCTTTAGCAACAACCAACCAAGTAAAGGCTCAACAGAGTATGTCTCCGGTATCACATTACTTCTGGGCCATATGTCACTTTAGCGTATTTTCACTCTCCCAATCAGAATGGAAGCTTCAAGAGAGCAGTGATTTTTGTTTTGCTGAATGTTATGTCACTAGATCAAAATATATATATATAGAATGAACTAAGTGGAATAGTGAAGTGCTGCACTTTTTAAGTCAGTATTCCCCAAACCTTCCCTCTGATAACAAATACCCGGACAGCTTACCAAAAACACCAGCTCCCAGGTTCCATACCCAAACCTACTGGATCACAATCTACATGAGAGATTAGGCAGCATACTCCAGGGGTTTTACAATCAAGGAAGTTTGGTAAACAAAGATATGTGTGTATATAAACTCTTACTTCTTTCTCTTTTTCTCCTATATACTTCACGTTGCTCCATTCAGACACGTTAATGTACTCACAGTTAAATTTCACTGGACTGAATGTTTTACAATTTGGAACCAAGCCCATGCTTTACAATACCCACCTCACTAGCTTTCTACTCTGCCTCCCCACCCTCAAAAATACTAGCAAATGTAGAAAAACAATGTTAAAATACGCTAGCCCCAAAAAGGAATCTAAATACTGTTTAGTTAAAATTTAACAATAGCTGCAGGTGCTGGGTTGGTTTATGGATTGTAAGATTAATTTGTTTAAAACAGTAATGAACAATAATCTCTCCCAACACTAAAGATCAACTATTTAAGGTAGCAAAATGTCCAGTTACGATAAGTGAACATGAATGAACATCATGTACAAACCTCTACAAGAGGGTTTAAAAAAAAGGCAGAGACTCATACTATCCTTCTCAGGTAATGTGAGGACACTGATTTAGCCAGATATGCTAAATCAGTAAAGGTACTGAAAGTACCTCTATCTACAAATATAAACCTACTCTACACAAACTCACACTTCTAAACATGAAGTTTAAAGATTTTACAAAATCTGGAAACGTTTTCAACCAAAACCAAACCTGTTGCTCAAATCATTCCTGGCTCAATACAAAGAAAAAAAAAAAAAACCCAAAACAAAAAACCTAAATTCATTGCCATCGCATCCATTCAGACTCACGGTGACCCCATGTGTCACAGAGTAGATTACAGAGTTAATTGGCTGTAACCTTTACGGAAGCAAATCGCCAGGGCCTTTCTTGTGTGGCACCTCTGGGTAGGTTCAAACCACCAACCTTTAGGTTAGTAGTCAAGCGTAAACCATTTATGCCACCTGGGAACCTCAGCTCATCACACAGACACCACCAATTGTAACTATTCTTTCAACAAGCTGCCTACTCTCACACGCTTATGTTTGTAAATAAAATTAGTCTTCTTAAGAATGTAAACTCCTGCATATTTTAAGTTATGCTGAAAACCACTGATAAAGGCAAATAAGCCTCTATACGGATTATCATAAATACACAGATGTTTACTAAACTTAGTATTTATTTTTATTCTACTTTAGATGAAGGTTTACAGATCAGTTAGTACACATATTGTTTTGTGACACTGGTTAACAACCCCATGACATGTCAACACTCTCCCCTTCTGGACCCTGGGTTCCCTGTTACCAGATTTCCTGTCCCCTCCTGCCTTCTCGTCCTTGCCCCTGGGCTGGTGTGCCTCTTTAGTCTTGTTTTGTTTTATGGGCCTGTCTAATCTTTGGCCAAAGGGTGAACCTCAGGAGTGACTTCATTACTGAGCTAAAAGAGTGTCTGGGGGCCATACTCTCAGGGTTTCCCCAGTCTGTCAGGCCAGTAAGTGTGGTCTTTTTTTGTGAATTAGAAATTTGTTCTACATTCTTCTCCAGCTCTGTCTGGGACCCTTTATTATGATCCCTGTCAGAGCAGTCAGTGGTGATAGCTGGGCACCATCTAGTTGTACTGGACTCAGTCTGGTGGAGGCCGTTAAACTTAATATTTAATAAACTCAAACAGACAAGAAAAATACAAAGATGTTCAAGAAATATGCAAAGGTTACGAAAAACAAAACCTATTGCTGTCGAGTCGATTCTGACTCACAGCGACCCGACAGGTTAACGAGAGAAAAATGATTCATAAACTTAAAAAAAATTTACTAGGTATCAGGAAAGCAAATCAAAATGGAATATTCTCACAAGTCAAAATAGCAAACTTTTGAAAACATGCTAGTATTTGGTATTTATACGGGTGAACAAGAGATAGCCATTTTCAATCTGTAAAGAGCATGTTTCAGAAAGAAATGTCAACCTCATTTCCCTCATCTCCTTCCTCCTTTCCTCCATCTCGATATGTCTGTATATAACATATCAAGAACCTCAAAAATACCCGTATCCTTTGAATAAATAAGATAAATAAAGCCTAAAAATATTTCACATCTTTGATTTAGATCTCCGCTTCTAATAACATAAATGGTGGACGGAGATTTATATCAAGAGGCGCCCGTTATTTTAAGAGCAAAAGTAATAAAACTAAATTTAAAAAGCAGACAGCCTAAATGTCCAACCACATTAAACAGTCAAGAATGTGCTGGTCTATCCAGGAGCACAAAGTATAGATATTCATTACCAAGAGCTGTTCATAACATGCTCACCATGTAACACGTAAATGGTATATTCATAATGCAAACAAAAGAATATATAGTTAAAAAACTACGAGAAGTGCTAGGAAACTGTAATAAGGCATCTGTTTAGATTTTTCTGTATTTTCTACAAGAATCATGCCACTTTTATAAACAGGAAAAAAAAAAGAAAAACTGTGAAATGTTTTCTATGTGACAATCTCAGGCTATTATGGTCTTAACTTTCTTGTCATTTCTTGTTCAAAATTCACAGACCTTGAGTTGGTATTTGGTTCTTTGATGAGTCCAAACTGGCTAACTGGACAGTGTTTAACTCACCAATAACCCTTAGGAGCCAAATGGATGATGAGCTAGAGGAAATACAGAGCAATAGAATTATACCAGCATTCTTGAGAACATGCAGCATAGCTGCAGCCATACCAAAACATCTAGCAACAGTGGACTGATTTCAGTCTTAGAACAGGTCATGTAAAGGAATACTAAGTAATAATTAGAAATAAGACTATACGACATATGGAAAGATTTTAGAAATGCACTAAATTTGTGTGAAAAAAGCTCAATATAAAATAACAGATAATACGAAAATATGATTTTATTTTTACACAAAAAGGTATAGGACTATAACTAATTTTACAATAAGATAAAAAATCACAGAGATTGTAAAAATGGCATGACAGCATCCTCAGACCTTCTCTAAGTTCACAAGGGGGGGGTGGGGATCACCAATTCTTATGAGGTGGAAGTCAGACACGCCTCCTCTCTCCTACCCTTCTACCAATTCTGACACCAGCCGTCCCTCCTAGGGCGCACTCCACTCTGCTGGTTCGATTAAGTTGTTGCAATGGCCACACAGAGCTCACAGACCATACTCACAGATACGGGGGTTACCAGGGAAGTAACAGATTACAATTCAGGATCAGCAATGACTCAGGATACAGTTCTTCAATCAGAACAGCTTTCCAGCTGTGCCTGCAGGTAGGCCTCTCCCCTTAGCCCCTCAGCCTGACCTCTGCCCTGTTCTGTCAAGAGTTACAAAGCTCTTTAGCTCCACCAGTAAGTGCCTGGGAACACCCCACTCCGGTGTTTGCTATGTCTTGTTAGGTCCACTACGTCCCGTTCTCTGATGGGGATTTCTGAACTCTTTGTTGTAACCTTATGGCACCACAGACATATGCCACTGATGTTGCCCAAACAGACACTGTGCGGCGCATGACTGAATTTGGAAGATAATCCGTTAAAAAAGCTCTAGCATTAAAAACGCGTTTTCAAACACAATCCAAAATTAAACTAACTTTAAAAACTTCAAATAGCATTTTACACGCTCCAATTTATACTGGATATCTTAGGTTAACAAGCATAAAACTAAAATTTATTAAGAGAAGAAAACTGGTTGCCTGGAACTCAAACCCAGGATACATAACAGTACACCTACTTTCCCCTAATACTATCCGACAACGGAGCCCTGGTGGTGCAGTGGTTAAGAGCTCAGGCTGCTAACCAAATGGTCCGCAGTTGGAATCCACCAGTGGCTCCTTGGAAACCCTACGGGGTGGTTCTACTGTCCTATAGGGTCACTATGAGTCAGAGTCAACTCGAGGGCACACAATAAGGTGACAACAGCATTACAATAGTACCTTGTCCTATGGGCACACCCTCCCCGTGGGCGGCCCCCGCCTGGAACCTGCAGCCCCTCCCTTCACTCCCCCTCTTGCTTTGAAGGCACCCAGGTGGTGGGCAAGTGGCACTTGCGTCAGCGGAGCCACCCCCGGCCCAGCCGGTGTACCGCCCTATTTCTGAGGACGACCAGCCAGCAGCCCACGGAATGGCTCTGTACTCCTTCGAGCAGAGCGAGGGCGAGCGTGTGACCCCTGCCCAACCGAAAGGGCTGGGGCCGGGGAGGTTGGGGCAAGAAATCTCAAGTATTTCGCATAGTCGATTTTCACAAAACGACCTAGTCTCTGGAACCTAACTACGTCAATAAGTGAAGAGTGGGTGTACTTAAAAAGAAAGCAAGTAAGAAAGCCTTCCACTAAAGTTCTCTTATAAATTAATGAAGTAAAAAGTTTCAAGATGAGCGGAGGAAACGGCTGTAGAAGAGGTGCCCACCAAAAGCTATGAAAAGTGGTGCACCATCCGTATTTCCTGATATGCACTGCTCGGGGATAAGCTGTGTCACGACAGGCAAGGCCCGAAGGAGGTGCTGAAAACCCAGGGGTATGTCACTACCTACCCACTAGTTCATCCCACCTACATTCTACATTTAGCTATTACTGCAAAGGGTTATGTGCTCTAAAATATTGTTTTAAGCTATTTATGTAAAATACCTTTGTTTGCCATTTACCACAAGGAATTTTAACATGTGCCTTCCTATACAAAGGTAGGTACTAACCTACCATCAGTATTTACTAAGTTACTGTTCTACTAAAAGCACCACATCATTTCCAAGTTGTTTTCTAGTGTTTAGCAATCCAAATAGGCTGTTTTTCTACTGGATATTGTCCTACAACAATTGGATAAGCCAGTCAGGTGGTCAAGCAATACTCAGAATCCGGGGATCAGAATATCTGTTCATCCTTCTCTTCATCAATTAATCGTCCATTCCACAGGAAGCAAAATTCCAATTTATCAGTGCAAACTTATTTTAACTTCCATCTCCTCACCTAAAGAGTAAACTGCCTCTCCTAGAGCCTTATTCCCATCTGTCTTTCCCTACGGAAGTACCATTTTTCATTTTTCAAATTCAAAAACAGAAGAATGATAAATAAGACAGAAAATTTACAATTCTTTTTAGGCCTGGTACTCCACAAAATCTTTTCTCTAATGCTTACAGTTTGAAGTTCCAAACCACTCGTCTGTAATTACCAATTGTCTACTCTACAAATTCTAACTTTCTGCATGGTTAAAAAACTCAGATAATCTTTCCCCCTTTCTGTGTGGTCTCTTAATTACCATCCTCAGCAACTCCATTTCACACCCAGGAAAGTATCTCACCATTTATAGCTTCACACTCATCTCCAACAGTCAGCAAGCACCAAAACAGTCACTTCCTGAATTCTGTCAAGAAAATCAACCGATGACAGGACATTCTGCCAAATCCAAGATTTCTCACTTGGAACCTTTCTTCTGACACCACAAGTTCTTTACCAGTCACCTCTGCCTCTAGTTATTACACGCAGACATTCTTGTTTTAATTAGTCTAGCCTTTCTCTTCCCGTAGCACACTATGTTTTCTTTTCTCACCTTAGAGTTCTTTTATACAAATAACATTCCTGAAATAGCAGCTCACTCCCTTATTACCAACTCCACTGCTTCAATTCTGTTCTAGTATCGCTCTTCCACAAGTTCTGCTCTTGCTCTTAAGCATAGCTGGAGAAACTTACATTAAAATAGCAAAGATCTGACTGATGATAAATTCAGATGTTCAGTTACCACCCGGGCCTCATCTTGATTTGGCTTATCATTTCTAGCTCAAGGGTGATAGCTGCAGACCTCTTCCTTTAAGCCTCAGATAATGTTCTTCTCCTCTGTTCACTTTCAGCAGATGGCCTCACCCTATGTTTGCTTTACAAAGAAATACCAGATCATCAACACGCCTGCCTTTAGATCTACTCATCCCTCTTAAGTTCTTCTTTTAATCTCAAAGACAGCTCTCCTGATCACCAAAGCTAATCTCTACCAATGCTTTAGATGCTATTTCATGCCATTTTTTTTCAAAGGACTCCTGGAGGGTAAAGTCACATCATCTTCAATAATTCATTAACCGACAACTGTAATCTTTACAGAAGCAGACTCTACATCTTCCTCTTGGGGAGCAGCTGGTGGGTTCGAACCAAGGACCTTTCGTTTAGCAGCCAAGCGCTTAGCCACCGCCACCAGGGCTTTTAACCTTCCAATATGCCTGTACAAAACTACCGCAATCACCGTATTTGAGAGCCTCTTGATTTTTTTGTTAGTTCTCATCCTCTTCAACTTGTCAGTGGAATTCTGTCCATAGCTTCCTTTTCTTCTTCAATATTCTCGTCAATATTCTACTTCAATTTTCACGGACCTATCAACTCCAAATTCACTTTGGAGAAAATCCCCGTACACTAAGGCAGTGTCTAACAATTCTAATTCTTGGACTTTAGACCACAGACAGCAGATAGAAAAGTTCTGGGAACACTAAGATGTAACAACCACGACCAACTTTGCACACCACTACGTCCCCAGTGCCTAACACAGCGGCTGCCATACTCTAGGCACCCAGGAAGAAAATCAATATTCAACTTTCTTCAAAATTTCCAAAGTTCTGGAAACTTCCTGTCGTACACTCTCTCTCTCTCCACATCAGACAGTACCAGTTCTATCTTCCAACTGACTTTTTCTATTTAATGTTTTTTCACTATATCCTTCTCCCTTGGTAATAAAACTAGAGGAGTCCTCTATGTATAAGAAAAAATAAACATGTTTCAAAGATTGTACTAGCCCAACAGTTGTCACCAGGACAAAAATGTTTCAGAAAAGGAAACGGTTAATTTCACAAAAGCTGAGACACTAGCTGGTCACCCCCTCCTTCATGTGCTGAGATCACAACAGCGTCTTAGTTAAAACATTTATATACTCTAATGATTAGCTTGAAGAAAGGAACACAGAACAAGTGAAATGGTAAAGAACTCGTTAAGCAAAGGGTTGTCTTTTGGAAAAGGACAGAAGGAGACTTTCACTGTTACAGGGCTGTAGTACTTATTTGAACGGACAGGAGTACGTTTAACCCTGTACAAGGCTGAGGGGGTAAGATACTAAACCCAACAGAGTAACTGGAGTCAGGATAAACACAATGCAGTTACAAGCCACACTGCTGCACCACTGACCCCACAATCCTCTGACGTCATCAGTCCTGCTTTTCATTCGATCTTATATGCTACACAGCATACAATCAACACAAAAACGGCAGGTTCTTTGGTTTCACTAACATTACTTATCCTATAGCTTGGTTTACTATTTTTCAAACCAGACATTATATACCACACAACACATACGCACAGGTTACCAAGTAGGACGCTGTAATATTGTAACTTACAACATATTAAATATCTTACTTCCCCAACATAAGTCTGTCCTTGTCCCCAAACACCCTAAACCTCCCTCAGCTATTAGACCACTCCTACCATTGACAGAGAAGAATTACAACTAAGGAAACTGGGTTTTTGCTCAGGGTTAGGGTTAAAATTCTGATTTGTGCAGAGAGGTAAAAGGAACAGAAGACTTAAAGACACTATTACTTCTCCCACATCTAAGAGGTTTGTGGACTGACCTGGGAACACACCAATACATAACGCTGCTTCAAAAGGAAAAGTACACCCAAGTTTCCAAGAAATGAGAAACGTCTTAGCACCTGAAAATATCATCTACTCATAAAATAGAGTGTGACTGTAATGATAAGCTCTTCACAAGACGGATATACATAAAAAAGTATACATTTTAAGTTACAATACAAAATTTGAAAGTAAAACTAATGCCGTAAAATTGTTTTTCTATCAGAGTATTTTAAATACCGCAAATTTTCCAAATTTCTAAAAAAAGTGGTAGCTATATTCTAAAACACCTCTAAAATTCAAAAAGTATATGATTTTAAGACAGTCTTCCTTTATTCTAATTTTTATTGATCCATAATAAAAAAGAAACGAAACCTTCTAAAATTTTTGGTTTGATACATATTCCTAGGATATCTACACCAAACTAAACTATAGGATCATACTTTAGAGAAATAAACTCCTGAAATTAAACTGAAAAAACAAAGTTTGGGCTGTATTTATTTTCCACTTACGTCAAATTAAATTTAAAATTAAACTGCCACGTTGAAGTTCCTGGAGGGTATTCTCCTTGCTCATTCATGAATGTCAGTCCTAGCTGAATTATCTTTAACAAGTCTACATTACACCGCAATAGCTGGTACTGATAGTCGGCGTTGCTCCTGAACTCGCCAATGGGCCTTGCAACCACACCTGGAAACTCCGTGTCCTGTAAAATAGTTTTAAGACTCATTATTTACTAAACAGGAACAACCACAATTCACAAATTCCTAGAATAATTCATTTTTGGTGCAAGTCAAAGAATCTTGTTACAAGTGATATTGTACACATTTATATTCAAGTGCCTCCTAAAAAATTGCAACTAGGAAAAGAACTGCTTTTTAGAATCATAAAACTCTTTCAATATGAATAACTTTATTTTACTTTAAATACTATATCAATAAAATTATCTATTTATAAGACACAGCTGATGATGTAATAGTCTATACCCAGGAAGGGAAAAGAATTATAACTCATTTCTCCCGAGGCCTATGTTCAACTACGTTCATATTACTCCAGTGCTAAAACCCAGGTTTATTATTAAAAGGAACTGGTTAAAAAGCAGAGTAGAAAATCCACTGTACTTTCCAACTGCATTTCTGAGATAAGGTCTATTAAACAACAAAACCTTCCAAGAAAAGTATCACTAGCCTCCTAAATTCTTCAGCCAAGACAATACTCTCTGTATCCTCCAAAGAATGCATGCTGTCAAGAATTTCATGCCACCCACTCATTCCACAGGACATTACCACTTCTCCAATGTTGCCACTGCTTATTATCTAAGAAATAAATGACCACTACGAATGTCCCATGGATAAGAAAATAACTTCAAATTCTAATTATGAATAAGTATACCTTTATTAAAGAGCCCTGGTGGTGCAGTGGCTAAGTGCTCGGCTGCTAATCAAAAGGTTGGTGGTTCGAACCTATCAGCTGTTCCACAGGAGAAAAGACTTGGTGATGTCCCCCCTTCAAAGATTTACAGCCTAGGAAACACTACGGGGCAGTTTCACTTGACAGGACACAACGCAACCCTTATTAAGTAGAACATCAGTTACATACACACAAATCTTCAAATTTCAACCATTCAACTTGCTCCTCCACAAAGAAAAGGGATTTATTTTTATTTACCTATTTCTACTAAAACTATTGAAAAAATGATATATCAGCTCAATATCAGAATTCAAACTAGGGCTAAGAACAGAAAATATGAAGTCACTATCAAAAAGTTAAGAAATTAAAACTTCTCCAAATTCGGTCCAATTAAAAAACCACTTTGTGTATGCTGTATGTGCTTTGCTAGATGTTGGGGGGAAGGATGACTAAGCCATTAACCTCGAAGCTTCATGCAGCGAATGATCCACTGAAGACAAAAAACAGTGCAGTATCTACCACAGATATACACGGTTCAATAGTACCAAAGAAAAACAACAGGGCAGGAGACAGTCTAGGCAAACGGACTAGCATGCACAACAACAGAGAATCTTAACAGCACAGTGTGTTCATGGAGCTCCAGTGATAATTAAAAAAAAAACCTAGACCAATTAATGTTTCACTGGGAGATCTGACTTGTTTGTTTGAAAAAGACATTGGGGAGCTCCCTGGCTTCTGAAAGCTGCTCTGTGCGATCAGCTAGGCCTTTGTGTTGCTAAGGGCAGACCTAGTATGTGGGTAGGCCCTAATAATCTCCTGTTGAATTTAAACAATTTTATAGAACTGCAGCATCAGACAAGGACACTCTGTAATCAAGTCTGAGCACAGACAAAAACACAGACATTGCTCAGACCACAAAAATGACCAGTCCTGGGTAATACGAATAACTGCCGCTTCTTTACAGCTTTAGTCTCACTCTCGTCTTCCTGGTTCTAGGTAAGCTTTATTAAGATACCCAGAATAGAATTACCCCCGCCTCCTGACAGCATCCAATCCAGGGCAAAGCCCTATTTCCTTAAACTGTCCCTAAAACCACCTACCACACTCTGGAATCCTAAAAGTCCTTTCTAACACCTTCTTAGGTAAACGCCTCAGGGTTTTCTATGGTATGTATTTTCCCTCACTGCAGGGAGTAATAAACCCAACTTGTCAAACTGTGTTCCTGGTGGTCTCTGGCTGGAGGGCATTAACAAATTTTTCTTCTCATGGTTAAATTAGTCCCTAAAACGCAACCAGAAGAGTTGAATTCAAGACGTTTTCAAAGCTCTCTTCTCCCTTTTATAAGAAGCGTTTTAAAGATTTGGTCACGGGCATACCATCGCAACGTAATTATATTTTCGGATAACTTGACGAATTTTCTTCATCTCTTCATCCAAGTTGCAAGCCCAAACTTCACAGATTCTTTGGCTATGATCTACAGTTGCTGCTGGCATAGTGAGGACACAGGGGGTCTAGACGCCAAGCATCAAAATGTTATACTTGATTGAAGATTTGTTTCATAAAATACTTTATCCTTTATTTGTGAACCTGTCAAAAGAAAAATCAAAGTGAAAAACCAGTTATATTAAAAACTGGACTCACAGAATAAGAGTTGGTAGAGACCTGACAGACTGTTTACTCAAAGCCTCGGATTCATAAGAAAGTCAAAGTTTAGCAAGTGACTTATCTAAGATCACACAGCTAATCTGTGGAAAAGCCAGGGCTATGACACAGGTTTCCTGGTTCTAATTTCAGTGATTTTTAAAAAGTTTTATATATACTGATCATTTTAAAAAAAAAATCCCCTAATTAAAGACTGCTCTAAATTTAACTCGCTTTCTAAATAAAACCTTATGAAGTGATCCATTTTCAGATAAAAATGAAAAGTTAAATACTGACAGACTGACAAGATAACATGTTATAAGGGCAAAGATACTGTCTGTTTCTATTCTTAACATTCAGAATTTGACTTGATTACAGAACTGGCATTTATTCATGCCAGACTGTAGGAGGAAGAAATTTAAAAGTTTCAAAGCCTGTTCTTTTTGAGAAATAAGTAACAGATAGCCACGGAAACTGTCCAAATGTCTGTAACTGCTAATAAAGGCAAAAGTGTGCATTTAAAATTGTGTCTCTAATTTCCTAAAAACTGGTGCATTTGCCCCAGTTACCAATTACACATCTCACGTTTCTGAACCGTAAACACAGGTTCATGGTATATAACAATTAATTGGATAGACAGACCAACTTTTTGATTTTTGGGCAAGGAAATTCCAAATGCGCCTATATTTTTCACGCAAAAACAAGGATAAAAGAGGAAGGTCTTGTGACCCCTTCTGAACTCTGCAGAGTCACAAAAGTAATCTCAAGCGCCCTAAGAACAGAAACCCAAAGAGATCTAGCTAGAAGACCTCTCCTTTATCACTTCCCTTCCCCATCCCGCTAAACACACACAGACACTTTGGAAAGACCCCTTAGTTTAACATTCTTCCATCTCTCTCTATAGCAGTTCCAGAATCCCCGAAGAAACAGCAGAGGACTTCTCATGACTGGAGATAGCATCCTGACTCCAGAGAAACAGGACTGCACCGAGGCATTCCAGTCATAGATAACTCTCTTCCCCAGCAGAGAACTAGTGCAAAGGTGATGATAATCATTTACTAGCGCCAGACTGACTCCCAAGCATTGCTGTGGGAGGGGATAAGAGGAGCTGCGAACCCAGGCCACCGCCCTCCACTCCCAATTTCCGCCCCACAACATCGAAGCCCCAGGTACAGTACAAAGCCTTTACGTCATCATTCAGCGCTACCACCGTGACATACCCCAACCCCACTTACCCTCCCCACTACACATACACCCGCCGCCAAGCTCTTTCCTCCGCCAGCCTCGCTCCAGCTGGCGCCATCGCGCACCCTCTCCGGATCCTCATCGTTCCCGCCCCCTTTCTACTTCCCCAACCTGCCCCTCCCCCCGGTCTGCGGCAGACGCAAAAACTACTTGTGTCGCTGAGCTCGCGCTCCTCCTCCTCCTCCTCGCCATAGAGACAGCACCCGGCGGCGGTGGCGGTCGCGGTAGCGGCGGCGGCAGCGGGTGCCCCATAGACACCTCTCGCCCAGCAAGGGGAAAAGGGGAGCCGGAGCTGCGCCGCACCGCCCTGCGCCGTCGCTTCTTGCACGTCCTGAGGGGGGCGCTGGATGATGACGTGACACGCAGAGTGGGCGGAGCGCGCACGAGGGGGCGGGGCACGCAGGAGCCGGCGGCTGGGGCGGCCGAGCCTCTGGCGGTCGGACTTCCTGAGTCGCTCACGGGACGACTGGGTCCGGACACCGGAGCTGCGGGTTTCTGGCGGCGAACTCCCTCTTCCATCCGCACGCAGGCACAGCGTGCCCCGCAGGTGCCGGGACCCCGAGGCGTGTGCTTAGACAAGACGCGGCCTCAGCGTTTGGGCCCTGGGCTCCCGCCCGCGCCGCAGTCGGCGGAGAACGGCCGGGCTGAGCAGCTGCGAGAAGCAGCCGGAGCCTTCTAGAAAGGCCCTCGGGCCCGGGGACCCGAGGAGGATGAGCTGGCTCTTCCCGCTGACCAAGAGCGCTTCCTCCTCCGCGGCTGGGTCCCCCGGTGGCCTCACCAGCCTGCAGCAGCAGAAGCAGCGCCTGATCGAGTCCCTTCGGAGCTCCCACTCCAGGTGACTGGCGGCCGCCTGTCGGTCCCGAGGAGGACGTGGGCGGGGGGCGGGCTGTCCTGACCACCCTCGGCTCCTCCGGCCGCTCTGGCGGGCCTCCCTTCGTCCCGGCCCCCGGCTCAGTCTCCTGTCCTGAGCCCTGTTTACTCCCTGCGTCCCACCCTCCCTTTCCGCTGCCCCAGCTCTGCGCAGCTCTTCTGACGGTGACTCATCGCTGCCCACTGCCTTCGCTCGCCGTCCCTTTCCCGTTTCACTTGCCTTTCCCCCGCTTCCCCGCTAACCTTCCCTTTGCCCGCCTGATTGCTGCCTCGGCAGAGTTGTTAAATTCTGAACTTGGCTAAAGGCAGTCGTGAAAAGCCATCCCTAGGTTTCACAAAGCGCGGAAGATAAAGTGTTGCACATCAAAGGAAAGGAACGCCAACATTTTCATCTGTCAGTCCTGCTCGTCTGGGAGTGACACACTCAGTTCTCCTTGTCCTGCTCCAGCGACTTCTCCCCATTCGGCGGCGGCGCTGCTGTCTCTACACGTCCCGCTTTATTTTTCTTGTCCCCGCTCAGGTGTTGCTTTCTGTTCAGCTTGATTTTTCGGTGGTCTTCCTGTGGGTTTCTCGTTTTCAGCGTGGTCAGATTAGAGATACTTGACAATTCAGTTTCAACTTTTTACAGTAAACTGGTTTTCTGCAGGCTTGTGTATTGCAAATGTCTGTAGCCCCTAATGGAGCCGTGGTGGTGCAGTGGTTAAGAGCTCTGCTGTTAACCAAAGGCCGACAGTTCGAATCCACCAGCCGCCACTTGGAAACCCTATGGGGCAGTTCTACTCTGTTCTATAGGGTCGCTGTGAGTCGGCATCGACTCGATGGCCACGGGTTTTTACAGGTAGCATCTAATGGTTTTCAGAAGTGAGAACTGCTTCTTTACATTGTGAATTATACAAGCGTATTAAGTTTCACAGCATGTATTTTAATGTAAAGATGTCAACGTCGTTCAACTCTACTCCTCTTTTGAGATATTCTTTTCATACATGTCCTGAGATAATAAAATTGAGTAATTCCTGTTGAGCAAACTTGTTGGTGATGAGCAAACCGTAGGAGCCGTTTTACCTGTTACAGTTTAATAATGCTTTCCCAACGAGTAAATTACAGCCTAGAGTCGTTTTAAATCAGATATGTTGTTAAAAGAAAAACTCATGGCAAAGTTGGTTTGGTTAAAACGAGGCCTGTTGTTGACTGAATTCAGGTGTGTTTTGACTGTCTCGGTTGTGTTGCTTGTTCAGAACTTCCAAAAGGTGAAAATTTGTAGTATTGAACAGAAAAGAGGAGCAGGCTATTTGATTTGCTGGTGGCTTCCTTTTTGTAAAATTAAGTTCACAAAGTTCTTAAAAGTCCATCAGAATTCAAGTTCTGTACTAACCTGTAAAAGCTACTCCTCCAAGATATGCTTAAAAAATAAGAGGACATATTTGTAACCAACATAACAAAAGTATGTCCTCTTAGATGTTATCGCCTTGGAGTATATACGATTAAAACTACTACCAAAACATTTGTCAGAACCACACCTGTGGAGTTAGTTGCTTTAAGCCTTTACAGAGTATTCTGTAGTATATTCTGTTAAATATTGTCAGTGCTGACAAATTTTTGTTCTTTGAGGTTGGAGTTGAATATTTGAAATACCCTTCAAAGTCCCTTGCTACTAAAGCTGGTAAATAAAGAAAGTGATTGATCTGAAATTTATTTTGCTTCCCAGCTAAAAAGAGATTCTAATGTAGGAATTCTTAATCTAGAGAGTCCTGAAATTGGCTTAAGAGGATCCATAAATACCCTGAATCGAATGTAGAAAGGTTCCCATTATATATACGTTGTATTTTGAGCTGGAAATTATGCACATATAATTAGACATGTGACATTGTTTATAAATTTGTAGTGTTATGAACATAAAACTAAGTATTTGATTTCTTTAAGTTCTTTAATAAAAAATACTTGAAGTTTTATTTAGTTTAAATCTTTTGCATTTACAAATTATACTTGGATAATTCTGGTAATATTTAAGTAGTTCGTGAAGTTGAAATGTCTAGGAATGGGGTTGTGCCAGAAAAAAAGTGCCATCCACCCATTCTAGTTAAGTCCACCCTTTTACCTAATGATGTGCATTTGGAGCCTTGATGGTGCAGTGGTTAAGAGCTGCAGCTGCTAATCAAAAGGTCAGCAGTTTGAATAC